AAATAGAATAGGTGACTAGCTGTCACAATGGCGTATACACAAACTTGGCATTAACCAGACCCAAGATGCCCACCAGCTATTTGTTGCTTTTCTTGCAGCACTGTAGCACTTGCCTAGGTACAACACATCTGAGGACTTTGACTACAAGTGGGGTAGAATTTCTTAAAGTGATTCTAGTGTGGCCAGAAAGTATATTACTCTGTAGGATTTCATTTCTTTTATGTGGTCCAGGATGTGATCGGCCCTGGTGTTTCTTAGCTGCCGGAAAAGGGTGTTCATTTTAGTATTACTGAGTATTTTTATATAAATGTCTTAGATCCTATATATTAATATAATGTCTATTAAATTGGTTGTCATTGAGGCCAGTGCGGTGGTGTAGCAAGTTAATCCTCCAGCTGCAGTGTTAGCATGCCATATGGACACCAGTTTGTGTCTCAGCTGCTCTACTTCTGATCGGCTTCCTGCTTATGACCTCGAAAAGCATTAGGGGATGAATGCTTGGGCCCCTGCACTTTCTTTCTTTCTTTTTTTTTTTTTAAGATTGATTTATTTATTGGAAAGTTAGATATACAGAGAGGAGGAGAGACAGAGAGGAAGATCTTCCGTCCGATGATTTACTCCCCAAGTGAGCGCAATGGCCGATGCTATGCTGGTCCAAAGCCAGGACCCAGGAACTTCTTCCGGGTCTCCCACATGGGTGCAGGGTCCCAAAGGGCCCCACACTTTCATGGGAGACCCAAAGGAAGCTTTTGGCTCCTGTCTCTGGATCAGCTTAGCTATTTGTGGAGTAAGCCAGCAGATGGGAGATCTTTGTCTCTTCTCTGATTCTATATTTCAAATAAAAATAAATATTTTTTAAAAGTTAATTATCATCAAGGTTTTTTGGGGGTTCAGGGGGAGTCTAGTATTATCCATTGTGAGGAGGTTATTAAGTCTCCAACTATAATTTTGCATTTGTTGATTTTTGCCTTAAGATATTTATGCAGTAGGGCCCAGTGTGGTAGTTTAATGGCTAAAATCCTCACCCTGGCATGTGCCAGGATCCCATGTGGGTGCTGGTTTGTATCCTGACAACCTCGATTCCCATTCAGCTTGCTACTTGTAGCCTGAAAAAGCAATCAAGGATGGCCCAAAGCCTTGGGATCCTGCAGCCGTATGGGAGACCCAGAAGAGGCTCCGGGCTCCTGGCTTTGGATCAGCGCAGCTCTGGCTGTTGTAACACTTGGGAAGTGAATCAGTGGATGGAAGATCTTCCTCTCTGTCTCTCCTTCTCTGTGTAAATCTGACTTTCCAATAAAAATTTAAAAAATATTCTTGGGCCCGGCGCGGTGGAGGAGTAGTTAAGGTCCTCACCTTGCACGCCCCAAGATCCCATATGGGCGCTGGTTCTATCCCCGGCAGCCCCGCTTCCCTTCCAGCTCCCTGCCTGTGGCCCGGGAAAGCAGTCGAGGATGGCCCATGGCTTTGGGACCCTGCATCCGCGTGGGAGACCCAGAAGAGTCTCCTGGCCTTGGATCGGCATAGCACTGGCCATTGTGCTCACTTGGGGAGTGAATCATCGGATGGAAGATCTTCCTCTCTGTCTCTCTTCTCTGTATATCCGCCTTTCCGATAAAAAAATAATAAAAATAAATCTTTAAAAAAAATATCCTTAAAGGGTCATCAGTTTTTCTTAGAAGAAAAGACTCCATCAATACAGTTAAATTCCTAGGGCCCTCAGTTCGTTAGGGAAGAATGGCTGGTACTAAGCAAAAATGTGTTAACCTTGATGGAGCTTACATTGAGAAGTGAAGTTTATATTTTTCATTTTTATCTTTATATGCTATTTTACTTGAATATGTTGAATTCCTTTGTACAAGGACTATTTATTTAAAGTTTTTGGAAAATGTATGTTTTAAAAGAATACATGATTTTGTAGTATTTTTTGTACCTAAACAAAATTTGTTTAGTTCCAATCTTTTTTTCATAAATGTTGTTTTAAGATTTATTTTATTTTTTATTGGAAAGTCAGATATACAGAGAGGAGGAGGAGAGACAGAGGAAGATCTTCTGTTTGTTGATTTACTCCCCAAGTGGATGCAACAGCTGGAATTGAACTGATCCGAAGTCAGGAACCAGGAACCTCCTCCTGGCCTCCCATGCAGGTGCAGGGTCCCAAGACTTTGGGCTGTCCTGGACTGCTTTCCCAGGTCACAAGCAGGAAGCTGGATGGAAAATGGGACCACAGGGATTAGAACCAGTGCCCATATGAGACCCCTATGCATGCAAGGATTTAGCCACTAGGCTGCTGGGCCTGGGCCTTCCATGAACTTTTAAAACTGCTTTCATGGTTGGGTGATTTTTCTGAAAAGAGATTTATTTATTTTTATTGGAAAGTCAGATTTACAGAGAGAAGGAGAAACAGAGAAGAAAGATTTTTCATCCTTTGATTCACTCCCCAAGTGGCCACAATGGCTGGAATTGAGCCAGTCTGAAGCCAGGAACCTGATTCTCTTCCAGGTCTCCCATATGGATACAGGGTCCCAAGGCTTTGGACCATCTTCAACTGCTTTCCCAGCCACGAGCAGGGAGCTGAATGGGAAGTGGAGCAGCTGGGATACGAGCTGGTGCCCATATGGGATTTGGGTGCATGCCAGGCAAGGACTTTCTAGGCTACCATGCCGGGCCCAGTTGGGTGGTATTTTTTTATCTATTTTCCCAGTTTGTCTTTTAATAGGTATATTTAGATACATTGCAATTATTGACATATTATGGCATATTTTGCCATTTTTATTTATCTTTCTTGATTCTAATTTTTATTTCTCTGTGGGGTTTTTTTCTCTTTTTTCTTCGGGTTGCCAGAAAACATTTCTAAGATACCTGTTGAAATGTATCTGTAATATTTTTGAGTGTTATTTATTTGTGTAGCATATTTATTGGTTGATCCAAGCACTTTATTGTCTATTTAAAAGTTACTGGAGCCTACTGTGTTCTCAGTTAGCCTGTTCAGATAGAATATGGAAATTTTAACTCACTATAATCTTTTATTTATCTCTATTTGTAATATAAATCTTCAAAAATATTTTTAAGGTACATTTAGAATTGTATCAGTGTTATACAATATTTTAACTGCCAGACATGATTCTGGAAACTTGGGAAGGAACTGCCACTTGTAGCCATATTTTTAAATTTTCATACTGATTTTTTTTCTTCCTTAATAATGTTTTAAGGTTGTTTTGTTTGTTTTGTCATTTCTTCGCCATATAGAGGACATCCGTTAGTGGTTCCCTTAAGCAGGTCTGCTGGCATAGTCTCAGTTGTCTGTCCTGAAAATGTCTTTACTTCTTCATTTATTGGTAACACTTGAAAAATATTATGCCTTTCCTCTTTTTGGCTACCCAGAATTGTGCCCTTTCCTCTTTTTTTTTTTTTTTTTTAAAGGCCACTATGGTTTGTGTTGATAGACATTCAGAATGTAATGTGTCTTGATGTGGATTCCTTTGAGCGTGTCCTGTTTGGGAATTTGCTTAGCTTCTTGAATCTGTATATATATGTTCTTCCTGGTTTTGGTTTAGTTCTTTTAAGGTTTATTTATTTGAAAATAGGCATTAAAGCAAGAGGGAACATCACAGAGAAAGGGGTTTTCTGTCTCTATCTCACTCCCTCGATGGCTGCAGGAATCAGGAGCTTTGTCAGGTTTCCCACATGGGTGGCAGGACCCATGCATTTGGATAATTTTCTGTTGTCCCTGCCAGACCATTAGCAGGGAGCCTCATGGAACCAGCCCCAGTGTGGACTGCTGCTGTCATAGGCAACTGCCTTAGTTGTGACACCACAGCGCCAGCTCTGATTATTTCTTTGAATACATTTCCTGTTCTCTTTGCCCATTGCCTCCAAGACTTGGATGACATAAGTTGTTATATCTTTTGTTTGATCCTACAAATCCCCTTGGGACTGTTTATTTCTTTGATATCTTTCAGTTTGGGTCATTTCTGTTGTATTTTCATTAAATCTTATCCGTGTCCTTTGTTTTGCTATGAAGCCCCTACACTGTACACTGACCTCTTTTTTTTATTTTTTAAATTTTTTTTGTGAGAGGAGTGAGAGACTTTTTTTTTATTTGTTCATTTTTATTTGAAAGGCAGATTTACCAAGAGAGGAGAGACAGAGATCTTCCATCCATTGGTTTACTCCCCAGTTGGCTGCAGCCAGAGCTGAACCAGCCTGAAGCCTCCTCCAGGTCTCCCACAATGATACAGAGTCCCAAGGATCTGGACCATCTTCTGCTGCTTTCTGCAGGCACAGAAACAGGGACATTGTTCACAAGTGGAGAAACTGGGACTCAAACAGGGGCTCATAAAATGCCAGCACCCAGGCAGAAGCCTAACATCCTATGCCATAGCACCAGACCCTGGACTTAAAAAAATCTGTTCTGTATGTATGTACTTTTTACAGATTTGTTTATTTATTTGAAAGAATCAGATAAGGGAAGAGACAAGGAGAGAGAATGAATCCTCCATCTGCTGGTTCACTCCTAGATGGTGGCAACAGCATGGATTAGGCCAGGCCAGAGCTAAGAGCTAGAAGCCACCTTCTAGTCTTCCAAGTAGAACAGAGGCCCAAACACCTGGTCATCTTCAGCTGCTTCTCCTTAGCAGTCAGGGAGCTGGATCAGAAGGGGGGAGTACATAGGGTTACTTGTTACTCCATGCTAGCCGCTTCACTTACCTCTGATCATTATAAATAGCTTTGCTGTTGAAATGATTGATGAGGCCCAGGATCACCACTAACAGTACACTTCCTAGATAAGAACACTCTATTAGTTGTTTCTAGGTACCTCTGTTCATTGCAGGAATCATTTTATTCATCACATTAAAAACTAGAAAATATTTTATGTAGTTTGGCATTTTACTTGTTATCTGAAATATTGGATCTGACCATTGTTTGTTTTTAAGTATTGAAATATTTCAGTTTCTTGTCTTGATTTTGATTTCACTTTGGCTATTTAAAAATATTTTCAGGAAATCCACTCACCCAGGCTATCTTGAACCTATATCAGGAACCTGATGGAACAAGAAGGCTGCTGAACTATTTGCTTGATAATTTGTCAGGTACTGCAAAAAGAAGTAAGTGGTCATTTGTTTAAGCCTTTTTATTAGGCAGACAAGTAAGGATATTGCTTAATTAATATGTTTTCTGTTCAACTAGTTTCAACAGAACAGCCACCTCCAAGATCTTGGATTATGTTACAAGAACCAGACAGAACAAGACCAACTGGTTGGTAGCTTTATTTTTTAATTCACATTTTTACTTGGCTTCTGTGAGCACTAATATTCTGGGCATACTTTAGAATGAGGGCAACATTTAAGTAGAATGCTTGAGACTGATTTAGTTGGAGAGGGAGTAGAGAAGACTTTATTCTAATTCATCTGGCCCCTAAGTATACTATAGTTATAAGGAAGTGTTTTATAATACAGAACTTCTCAGAGGTAATTTTGTCCAAGTAACTTGTGGCAGTATGAGGTGAGAGTGTTGGTTGTGGCAACTGGAGGACTGTCATGGTTTGTAGTGTGGCTGGAGGAAAGGGATGCTGCCCAGCATTCTCTAGTGCACAGCCCAGTTCCTCAACACCCAAGAGTGTGCTGTGGAGAAGCGTTGATGATTTATGGTAATATTTCATTTTCCATAGATTAACAATACATAGTTATTTTGTAGAAGAAAATAGACATAAGGAAATTGAATGATGTGTCAGGTTTCCACATTAGTAGCATGGTGGAGAGGGAATGGCACTGAGGCGCTGGGGTCTTAGCAGTTACAGGATCCAGGAGCTCAGTCTTTTAGCTGTACTTCTCTATTCTGATTTGGTCACTCTTTGCCCTCTTGTTATCCCCCCTTTTCTAGGATATAGTAATTGTTCAGTGAACATAGATTGAACAATAAAGGCTAACTTTACATTTGAGTGAAAACTATTGCTGAAATTGCATTTTTTTCTGTCACGTGTGTGAATAAGTAAAGTTATTTTTCCTACAGCCTTGTTTTCTGTCATGTGCTATAATGTTCTTTGTGATAAATATGCGACCCGGCAGTTATACGGCTATTGTCCATCATGGGCACTAAATTGGGACTACAGGAAGAAGGCCATTATTCAAGAAATCTTGAGCTGCAATGCTGATATCATAAGCCTTCAAGTAAGTTATACAGACGTGTTTAAATTACATAAATTCCTTAGCATTGATAAAGCAAGGGACAGTAAGATTAATATGTAGTACACTGATACGTCTGAAGTGCTACATTCAGTGGTTCTTAAAATATTGGCTATGTTCTGCTTTTAATGAATCTGGAAACCTCTGCCTGTCTCTTTGTAGCACTGTGCTGTCAGATAGAGCAAAGGGTTGAGCTGAGGTGTTAAGCATTTGCTGTAGTGGCTAAATACTCACTGCCTCACTCCTGTGTCCCTACACACTAATTTTCTAATCAGTTGGCAAAGTTAGTGAAATTGTAAGATTGCCAAGGTACAAATTTGCCTTGTCACCAGAACAGGGCATACAGGTCAAAGGATTGGACCTAGTATGTGCTACCGTGGTGCTTCAGTCCCTCTCATAAGAATATGTGAAATCCCTATCAAATCTGTCTCCTCATTGATCTGAAATTATATCTGTGAAGTTTCTTCTACCTTTGATTCTTATTCCCCATCAGTTTTGTATGTAGCTTTGCACTCATGACTCCTCAACAGTAAGGACTTGACCCTGGCAACTGGACCTGTAAGAGAACAAGTAGATATTCCTGTTGCCTGGTTCCAGATAAATTAATGTTAAAAGCTGTTATATTCTTAAATCTGCAAGTCAATGCACAGTTATTTCAAGCTCTCACACTATTAGCTAGAACTAATTTCGTCTTAATGCCATAACTTTGCCATTTACCATTTTTTAGGAGGTTGAAACGGAACAGTATTACAGTTTTTTTCTGGTAGAACTGAAAGAACGTGGTTATAATGGGTTCTTTAGTCCTAAGTCTCGAGCTAGGACAATGTCAGAACAAGAAAGAAAACATGTTGATGGCTGTGCAATATTCTTCAAGACAGAAAAGTAAGTCACCTTAAAAAATTTCTTCAGGGCTTTATTTCTGGGGTGAGGGACCTGCCTTTTTGCCAAGGACTATTTGGATATTTGTAACATCATTCATGAACCATTTAAATTACTACATTAAAATTTACATGCTGTGAATTTATTGAATTTCAAGTCCTGCCTGTGGCTACCTGGGTGGGGCCAAATCAAGTGATTTCATAAGCCAGACTTATCTTACCCTGACTTATTTGAAAGGCAGAAAGAGAGGTGAGTGGTGCAGGGAGACAGATCTTCTGTGCTCTAGTTCACTCTTCAACTGAGTGCAACAGCTGGTCCTGGACCAGGCTGAGCCAGGACTTCAATTCCAGTTCCCAGGCACATTAGCAGGGAGCTGGACCAGAAATGTAACACCTGGTACTCCAGCTGTCACTTTGATATGGGATACCAGCATTGCCAACAGCAGTTTGATGCACAATGTTGGCCCCTTCATCCTGTTTTTTTTTTTTAAAGGAAAAAAATCTTAATATTTACAGGATTGGGGCCATCCATATGGTTGTTATTTGACAAGAGAAAGCCATTATTTATTATTTTAGAAAATTGACATTGATTTAGGAGAATGTATTTTACCTTTTTAATAAAAATTTATTATTAGGGCTGGCATTATAACATAGTAGGTACAGCTGACATCTGTGGTGGTGATATCTCCTGTAGGTGCCAGGTAGTGTCCCGGTTTCTGTGTTTCCATCCAACTCCTTGCTAATGGCCTGGGAAAAGCAGCAGAAGATGGCCCAAGTGTTTTTGGCCCCTGCCACTCATGTGGGAGACCTGGCTCAGCCTTGGCAGCCATTTGAGAAATGAATCAGAGTTATGGAAGATTCTCTTCTGGTCACTACCCCACTCTGCAACTGAAACTTTTGTTTGTTTTTGTTCTGTTTTGTTATTTTTTAAAGGTTGATTTACATATGTATTTGGAAAGTAGACAGAGAGGTATCTTCCTTCAGTTGGTTCAGTTTGAGAAAGGCTGCCTGAGCTGGGGCTGGGCTAAAGCCAGGAGTCAGACTCCATCTGGGCGGCAGAGACTGAAATACTTGGACCATCATCCGCTGGGTCTCAGGTGCATTGTTAGGGAGCTGAATGGGAGTGGAGTAGCTTTGCATAGGATACGTGCTTTCCAAGTGGCAAGTTTGCTTTGCTGCCAGACCTGCCCTGAATTTTTTTGCTTTCTCTTGTAAAAAATAACTGTTGTTGGAGACATGTTTAAAGTGCTGCTGTTTCTTCAGGTGTTCACTAGGATTTAACTCCAATTGTTCATTGAAACCTGATGGAGTTAACATTCCCTAAGGGATACTAGAGGGGAAAAATTGTTGAAAAATTACAAAATGCAGTAATGTAGCACTGAAACCTAAAAAGAAGATAAATACATTATTTTAGGTTATAAGGGTATTTCAAAGTGTTAGTTGTGTCATTCACAAACTGAGAACAGCTTTAAATGGATGTGGGCTACTTATACCAGTGTGCAAGATTTTTCATATCTTGATTTAGTGCCATCACATCTGTTACAGAAGTTTGAGAAACTTCATTTCCCACAAAGTTAATGTCTTGGTAATCCCAGTCTATGTTTGTGTGTGTGTTTTTGTTTTCATTTTAGATTTACTTTGGTTCAGAAACACACTGTTGAATTTAATCAGCTAGCAATGGCAAATTCAGAAGGGTCTGAAGCTATGCTGAACAGAGTCATGACAAAAGATAATATTGGCGTTGCAGTACTACTAGAACTTCGAAAGGAATTGATTGAAATGTCATGTGAGTGATCCTTTCGCTTTCTGTCAGACTGATCTCCAAAACTTAGTAGCTCTGATGAGACATCTTCAAATTGACTAGAACACAGAAATTTCATTATATATTAATGGTCTTATTTAACACCTGAAGAAACTCAGTGAGAATTTTTTTTTATTGTACCTCTTTAGCCCCATATCCAACATTGAGCTCACATTGTCCAGAAAAGTATTAAATTTGCTTTCAAGAATTTTTTTCACATAAAAGAAATATTGAAGTAAATACTAATTTAAATAGCTGCTTAGGAATAGAATTTCATATACTTCCATGACTCCTTGGCAGCAAGAAGATTGTGTAAGCTAACTCCTGACTGGCTTACCATTATTTTAAATAAGTCTTAAGAGTTTTGGATGAATGGACCACCTACTTAGAAAGTACAATTATGTGCCAGCCAGCAGAGCTAGTAAGGTGGACAGGGAGAAGGTTTGGGGATGAAGCACCCACAGGAGACCAGTGATGGTAGAAGTCTGTGAAGTCTCTCTCTATTGCGCCTTCACCTCTGCTTTATATACCTTCCCCACCCCCACCCCAAGTCCCAATTTAGCCAGAAAATTGGCTAGAGATGAATCCAATTAGTCTAGGTGTTTTTAGCCAGAAGCCCAGTTCCTGTTTCTGTCCATTTCAACCAGCGCTAATCAACTCCTTAGCCCACAACACAATTAGAGTGACCTCATGTGGGAACTGAAACTGAAGTCACCTGAGGAACAGTTGCATCAGAGGATAGGAAAGGTGAAAGAACTTAGTGGTTGTTTTAAATACACGTAGGAGGGTTTAAGTTTTACTTTTTTCAGATGTGATTTAGAACATCTGAAGTAAGACCAAAAGTTTTAAGCATATGGAACTGTTTAAAAAGAAGAATTGTTCCAAAGAGAATGGGTGCCTATTCTGAAAGTGTCAAGCCAAGCTAGATGTTGATGTTTTTCTCAGGTTTGTGGCAGGGTGTTGGGGATCATTTTGTATTCTGAGACTGAGGTATCACTTTCTCGGGCTAACAGGGGTTCTGTGTTTTCTGTTTATCTGATGTAGCTGGAAAGGCACATCTTGGAACAGAGAAACAACTCATTCTGGTGGCGAATGCGCATATGCACTGGGATCCCGAGTACTCGGATGTGAAGCTGGTGCAAACCATGATGTTCCTCTCCGAAGTGAAGAACATTATTGATAAAGCCTCTCGAAGCCTCAGAGCGAGTGTATTGGGAGAATTTGGAACTATTCCACTTGTGCTATGTGCAGACCTTAATTCTTTGCCAGACTCTGGTAAGAAAAGATTACTTTATATGAAATGATTTTTGAGCTAAAATGTTTTTATAATGTGTTGTTTCTGATCATTTCAAGTTTAGTAAAAATGGACATTCAGTTTTTAGTGGCAACTATGAACAGGCTTTAAAATGTTTGAAATATAGAGACCATCTTGAAAATGCATGGCCTTACAGAGACTTAAGAAGAAACAATGTTAACCACCATTGATAAGCTTGTGGGTGAAACTTGAAGTAATTCTATAAGGGACACAGAGTTGTATTTTCTTAAATCATATGTAATCCAGACTCTGAAAAGTTTAAGACTATTTTGTGATTTCAGCAAAGTTAAAGATTGGTAACTTGATTAGAATATTCCTTAAGGGATTCTAGATTATTTACACAAATCATCAATCAAATGATTTTGACAACCCACAAAAAAGAGCAAGAATCTTTTATAATATATATAATCGCACAGTAAAATTGAAATCCTGATCTTGAGCACTTTCCCATAGATGGTTCAGAGAATAGGTCACAGTCCTTGTAATGTTAAGATGTTACTTTTTGGAATGAAGTCCTTACTTAGGTTCATTCATGCAAGAACGTTTTTGCTTGTACTTGCATGTATGTCTAAATACATACATTGATGTTTGGAATAGATATATTTGGTAGCATTTGATTGGCATCATAGTAGATAAAAGCCATTATGATGAAAGGAACTTAAAATTTACTTTCAGGAAAATTACGAGTATCTAAAATCTGAACTTATTCCATCTGTCTTGTCATATTGGAAGGTGGAGCAATATTGCCACTGAAGCTAGGGAGTAATCCTCCCTAGCTATGTCTCTACTAAGGTATAGCTACAAAGTCCCTGAGGGACAAAATGGCTTGTGATACACATCTAAGGCCCATTTGAAACTACAGTATTTTATTAGCAAATATGGGAAAGATGTCCCATTTTTGCTAATAATGAAAATTAAAATATATTTGCAGAGGGGCAGACATTTGGCCTGCTGGTTCAATCAGGCTTAAGATGCCCACATCCAGTGTTGGAGTGCCTGTTTCATCTGCTTCCCATCTAACCTGATTCAAACATTTAGGTCATGCTACCTCATAGGGAAGCTAGATGACTCCTGGCTTTGGCTAGTCCAACTCCAGCTTTTGAGTTTTATGAGAATTTAAGGAAGTAAACTGGTGATAGAAGATCTCTTTCTGTCTCTCCCTCTCCTGGTCAAATACAATAAAAATTTAAAAGTCAAAATTAAATGACCTTGCTTAAAGAGCCTGTCTTGTGCTTGGGAAGTTGGAAAAACAGTGTCAAGGGAAAGTGAAGTCATTCTGAAACCAACTAATGGCATTCTTTGTTTATGTAAGCTTTGTTTATTTGAAAGTCAGATAGAGATCATCTCTCCGTTGGTTTAGTCACCAAATAGCCGTGGCAGCCAATGCTGGACCAGGCCAGTGCCAAGAGCTTGTCCTGTATCTTCCAGGTAGGCAGCAGGAGCCCAAGCAGCCGGGCCATCTTTGCTGCTTTTCCTAGGTACATAGCCAAAGGCTGGATTTGAAGTAGAGCATCCAGGACACAAACTGGTGGGATGACAGTGTTGCACACAACACCGGTCCTATTTTTTCTTTTGAAAACTTTAATTTAAAAGGCAGGGAAACAGACAGTGGTCTCATTAGCTGTCTTGCCCCCAAAATGTCTGTAGCAGCAAGGGCTAGACAGGTGAAAGCCCGCAAGCAGGAATTCAGTCAGTATTTCCTCCGAGGGTGAAAGGGAGCCAAGTGCTCAAGCTGTGCCTGCTGCCTTACAGAGGGCTTGTGAGCAGCAGTCTGGGCTCGACCAGTGGGGCTTGTCTCCACCTGACGGACAGCCTTCTCTAGTTCTAGTCCTGAGAGTCAAGCCAAGCCAAGAAGTTAGTGTAAGAAGAAACTTACATACTAGGATGACAGTTGTGTGATACTTTTAATTTTTTAAAAACAGAAATAACCTGAATCTAGGCCTGGCGTGGTAGCCTAGTGGCTAGAATCCTTGCCCTGAATGCGCTGGGGTCCCAACAGGGCACCAGTTCTAGTCTTAGTAGCCCCACTTCCCATCCGCTTCCTACTTGTGGCCTGGGAACGCATTCGAGGACAGCCCAAAGCCTTGGGATACTGTACTCTCATGGAGGACCTGGAGGAGGTTTCTGGCTCCTGGCTTCAGATCGCTTCAGCTCTAGCCAATAGTGGTCACTTATGGAGTGAATCAAAGAAACTAATATAGCAGTTGTGTTACTTAGCTGTTAAAAACATTAAGGAAGATGTATCTGCTCATATGGTACAGTTTTAAATGAAAAAAGCAAAACACAGGGGCTGGTGCTGTGGTGTAGTGCATGAAGCTGTTATCTGCAGCATCTGTATGCCACATGGTTTCTGGTTCAAGTCTTGCTGCTCCACTTCTGATCCAGCTCCCTGTTAATATAACTGCGAAGCAACAGAGATGATTCAAGTATGTGGACCCCTGCACCTGTGTGGGAGACCTAAATGAAGCTTCTGACTCCTTCTCTTGCCCAGCCCCTGCCTGTGCAGTCATTTAGGGAATGAACCAGCAGACACAAGACTTCTGTTTCTCCCTCTCTGTAACTCTGCATTTCAAATAAATAAGTAAATCTTGCTTTTAAAAAACAAAGAAACAAACAAAATAGGCCTGGTGCAGTAGCCTAGTGGCTTAAGTCCTCACCTTGCATGCCCTGGGATCCCACATGGGCACCAGTTTGTGTCCCGGCTGTTCCCCTTCCAGCTCCCTGCTTGTGGCCTGGGAAAGCAGAAAAAGATGGCCTAAAACCTTGGGACCCTGCACAGTGTGGGAGACCTGGTAGAAACTCTTGATTTTGGATTGGCTCAGCTCCATTGCAGCACTTTGGAATGAACCAGTGGATCCAAATCTGACTTTCCAATAACGATAAATAAACCTATTTTTAAAAAGTGTTTACTGTTACATGATCCTTTCAGATTACATTGTTGTATTTGATGGAAAAGTACATTTGCCTTTATTTTAGGTGTTGTAGAGTATTTGAGCACTGGTGGAGTAGAAACAAATCATAAAGACTTTAAGGAACTAAGATACAATGAAAGTCTTACAAACTTCAGCTGTAATGGGAAGAATGGAACAACTAATGGACGAATCACTCATGGTTTCAAGTTAAAGAGTGCCTATGAAAGTGGCCTGATGCCTTACACAAATTACACATTTGATTTCAAGGTATGTCCAGAGACTGTGAATCTGCTAAGGCCTCTGCTTTACTAGCACTTGTCTTTAAAATGTGGCTGTGAGAGTATGCATTTTAGTTGGATTGCTTTATGTTCCCATCAGGAGTGCCTGAGTTCTAGTCCCAGCTTGTATTTTAGCTTCCTGTTAATGCAGACCCTTGGAGACAACGAACAAATGACAACAGTATTGTTTTATCAGTGTTTCTAGAATTCTTTACTAGCAGTTGGACACAACAGTATCTAATTTAGTGTCACTTGGAGTAAGGAGTTCATTCTGTTGTACTAAAATATATTAATATTAAAATATAACAAACTATACTCCTTTAAGTAACATCATATGGTTTTCATTAGCTGTTTGGAGGGTTTTTAAAATATGTAAATTCATTTTATTTTTGATGATGGTTACATAGTTGAGAGGGATACATGCCATGTGGACCATCAGTTAGTGTGTGGAGGGTTGAGGAATAGGAGAAAGTAGATGAGACAACTGCTTTCAGTCTCTTTGTTTCTTCTGGTATCTGGGGAAAGTAGAGACAGAAGGAGAAAGCTACTTCTAGCAGCCTAACCATATCAGTACCCAGGAATGGGGGAAGGCCACCCAGTATCATCCCAGGGTCCCCCAGTGTGGAGCCATGTTTCAAGGATACTGCTTAAGTGTTTTTGATTGTTCTGAGATGCTGTTGGATTCATTGCTCCAAGGTCCACTTTAGAGTCTCTACTTGCCCAGATACTTGCTGTCAAAGCTTGGCTGGGAGAGTTGTTGTCTTATGTTCAGCAGTACTTTTTATCTGTTTTTTTGTATTTCTGCTTGGTTTTCTATTTCTTGCCTGCTAGAAGAGTGGTCATTTAGAGCATTTGTTAGGTGTAAGTATTCCTGAGTAGGGTCTTAGGAGCTCGTGCATCTTAAAAGTGTAGAGATTATATGGCCTCTGCCTCTCCTCAAGTGTCCTTGTATGTTGGCAATAAGGCAAGAAGAATTGATTTCAGGATTCAGGAAGGTCTTTGCGAAGTGGTTGAATCTGACATTTGAAGGTTGAGATGGAATTAGCCAAGGTGGCACAGATTAAAATAGGAAGGAGAAGAGGCCTTAGGGTGAGGAGTCTTAGGGACTCCCCAAGGTTCAAAGGCCTATAACATTGGCATCCCATGTACGTGCAGGTTGGAGTCCCAACTGTCCACTTCCAGTGCATCTCTCTGCCAGTGTCCTTGGAAAAGCAGCAGATGACTCAAGTGCTTAGACACTGTGACACCAAATGGGAGACCTGGATGGAGTTTCATGCTCTTGGTTTCGGCCTGGCCCTACATTGGTGGTTGCAGCCATTTGGGGAATGAACCAGCCAACAGAAGATAATCTTTCTCTCTTCACTTCTGTCCCTACTTTTGTAACTCAGCCTTTCAAATATACAACTTTTTTTTTTTCCTTAAGATTCAGGTGTGAGGGAAGATGTTTTATTTTGTATCATTTAACATTTGATTTTTGTAGTATGTTTATTTCCCTCAGTATAACTGTAAAGGTGTCCCTTGAACACATTCAGTATTTCAGTGTTGTCTTTTTCCTTGTTTTTCAGGGTATAATTGACTACATCTTTTATTCAAAACCTCAGTTGAACACGCTAGGCATCCTGGGACCTCTGGACCATCATTGGTTAGCTGAGAACAACATCAGTGGCTGCCCACACCCTCTGATCCCCTCTGACCACTTCTCACTTTTTGCACAACTGGAGCTCTTGCTGCCTTTCCTGCCCCCGGTGAATGGCGTTCACCTTCCTGGCAGGAGGTAGTCGGGGACCTTCAGAGGGCAACCTCAGTAATACTTGTAAACATGTGAAAATTGGACGGCTGAAGAGTGAGGTGTGGCTGCTACATAATGTTTTGGTTTTTCTCTTAAACATGATTTGAAAATTCAATCTAATTACTTGGTAAGGATTTAGTATGAAAGTTTGGTGCTAGCAACAGACAAATTCTGAGCCCAATATGCTTTATATACCGCCAGACAGGGATTGGTGTGTTTGCACCTATCTTTAATTTGTTACAAGTAATTTTCCTGTTTCTTGTATCCAGTATATTTTCATGCCTTGAAATAGGAAAATGTTTGAACAGCATATTCTCTTTGCACAGAAATCTGTAGCACTACTTTTTTGAGGCCAGTAGTAACATCCAGAGACCATTCTTCCAAACTCTACTCCCTCCTTTTTCAGACTTGTTTATAAAATATAGAGCTGAATTTAGCCTTTATGATTGTATATGATCCATGAAGACCTGATTTATGAAATTTTTGTACTAAAATTCAGATTTGAAAATGATTGTATTGTGACCTAAGGCTGATTTTCTTAACCTGTTTTCATGTGTTATGAGGCCAGCTTGTAAAAGAAGTTGCAACAGACTTTCTCTGCTAATGATTTGCACTGTAGGGGTTTTGTTAGCCCTTTTGTACTACTTTATTTTTAAGTTGAGAACATTGTTCTTTAAATCCAAATCTTGAACCAGATGCAACTTATTCATGAATTACTGAGTGTTTATGATACATTCTAGTAGGACAGATAAGCTGAATGGTGAATGATCTGTATGGATTGTTGGACTGAATGTAAAGGTCGATATATGTACATTCTGATATCTTCAAATCTTTAACCTTTTAGGTGAAGCAATTACAGCTGCTCAGGTACAGCTCTTCACTCCTCACTGACACTTCCTGTCCTAGCTCTACTGTGCCTGCCTAAATTTGTTCTCACCAAGCACTGCCTGTGCATGCAGAGAAAATCTGTGCATCCTCTTTTATATTTTTAAATACTGTTTAACATTTGTGAGGATTTTATGAAAATGCTTTTGTATGAGCTGTTGCTGCTTTCCATTGTGAAGCACTGAACACGTTTTGGAACATGTTCATAGGATGGTCCCTGGGCCTGTCTGCTCAGCAGACCCAACCCTGCTTCTTCGTGTCATTCACCGTGCTGTTTGTCACCCAGAATACTACTATCATGTGAATTCTTTTTGTTATCCATGTTTCTGTGTTTTTTTTAATCTTTTTTTTTTAAGAAAAGTAATTTTCCATTTATGAAGCAGTATAAATTAGATGCATTTTTGAAACAGGTCCCTAAGACAATTCTTCAGATCAGTTTTAAACTGACCAAGTCATTTTACTCTGAACAAAGGTCAAAGTTTTGTTTCACCCTCAGTTTCACCCATAGTGCTTTAGGTTAGAAATTATAGCCAGCTTTCACTTTGCAAAGTTAACTTGTATACATTCTGTTCTTTGTTTTGTTGGTCTCTCAGAAATCAAATGAATTTAGAGGGAGCTTGGTGTAACTGCTTTTGTTTCAACTGCAGGCAGGGGAGCAAAAGATACCGTGTAAGCATTAAGAAATGTTGAATGTTAGCAGTTTTTATACAGAGAATGAGTCATTTTGAAGGATGACTTAAAATTTTATGAAAAATGTTCAGCACTCAGATGTGCTTATTCTGTTTTTAAAGAGAAAGTAAAATTACAAGTTTAAATGAATATTTTTTTTTCCTTTGAAAAACTTCTTCAGAAGGTTTTGATCTTGAATCTTTGTCTTGGACCTGATTTTTCCTGAAAATTTTTTTTTCTTTTTTTTTTTTAAGACTTTGTTGTGATTGTTTGAAATTTTTTTGCTTTTTAAGTTATGCTAATGTCAGACACATCCAGTTTATAATCAGTACGTTGGAAACTTTGGTATCATCGACATAGAACTAGTACATAGCTTTTTGTGGGGGTTTGGGTGTTTTGGGTTTTTTTGTTTTTTTTTGTGAAGTGTGAATAAAAGATATGTTTACTCATTCTTTTCCTAAACACGGCGTTGGTAATGTGCATCATGACAATGTCCAGGGAGGGTGAGCTGGAGCTGGTTGGGCAATGAGTCCCAGGAAGCACTTCGCTGTGATCTGCATCAGGTGCCCGAAGTCCAGAGAGCTTTACCAAGGAGTGCAGAACTCTGCCTTGTGTGTTCATCGTCAATGCTGAACCAGAGCGCACTGGTTAGATGCTCATCTGTCCACAATCTTTGAGTCTGGAGACAGCAAACTAAGATTATAATGGCCTATTGTATCCTGAAAATCCTTGCTGTTGCCTCTTTGAAGCATACTGCTTGTGCGGATCAATTTGAACAACTTCTCCACCTTACTGGGATAGTGATAAATTGAACCAAGAGTGCAGATTACAACTGTAACCTTGAAAAAAGAGAGGAATTTAGATTTCTGGGGGATAGGTTGTCACTCCAAAAGAGACTGATACTTTCTGTGTTTTGTGTTTAATATTTTCTGTGTTCTAGAATAATTTTCAATATTCCACTTTCCCTTAAATGCAATAAAAACGGGTGTGTTTTTACAGTGTAGATTGTTTTAAAAAATTCTGTAACAAACATTTAATGTGTTGCCATAATGTAATCTCAGTGTTCTTGCTGGATAAATCCGTTTTAGGAATGTTTTACAGAAAATCTAGGGTTTTTTAAAGATCAGAAATTTGGAGACAAATAACTCCTTGTAATCTCTTCAAGAACCAATTGCTGTGTTGGTAATTATTTATGCTTTGAGAATTTAAATAATGTTAAACAAAATTAATTTATGGTAGCTTAAAGTTGTATTAATTAATTGGTGGTTACAACTTTAATAGTCCAAGAAGATAGCCATTTCCCAGCAGTGTGTTTCCGTTTTCATTCTTACTTGATTTTGTGACAACCAGAAAAGTTTCTTTTGGGTTAGCACTTTGAAAGCTAAAGACATCATCTATTTTAATGGAATGCACTTCTAAATGTTGAAAGTTCAAAGCTCTTCTGAGATTCAGTTTTTAAGTAGTAACATTCAAATTTTATATAGAGTTCCAGTTTTCAACTATTTAAACTTAGGAAATTATTTTCTGTAATAAGTTTTAAGGTTTTAGGTTGTGTTGCATAAGGACAGAAGCCAACTTGGGCAAACAAAAAAGAGCAATTTTTTAAATGAATAAATCCATAGCAAGTGTTGCAGATAATTCAGACACCATCCAGCAGGTGTTTCTCTCCTATTCATAAACAGTATTTTAAAATGTTCACTGCCCTCTTCATTTACATTTTAGTATCTGCTGTGTTGAAGTAGTATCTGAAATAGAGTTTCCAGTCCTTCCTTACATTACATCCTGCTGTGTAATGCACTGGACTGCGTTTACCATTCATGGGAACCCAGCATGCCAGTTGCACTAAGCTCAAAGAATGTCACCTTGCCTGGGCAGCTCTTTGCAAAGGGCATGGAAAACTGACCATCTGCCATTTGGATTGGTGGTAATAAGGGCTTTCACTGTTCTTTTTGGTTTGGAACCTTCTTGGTCAAATTGTAATGAACTGGTATTATATTTATATACAGGGTCTCTTTCATTACTGATGTATTTTACTATTCATAGCCAACCAATAAATTCAGTATCTGTTTCAAATATCTTAAAAGTGTAATTTGTATAGCTGTAGTACTGAAGTTTGAGAAAAATAATGTTAAACCGCAGGCTATATATCTAAAATTCTGAGTCATCTGGAACAGGGTTATAACTTGCCCTATGGAAGGGGACAGGGCATGGTGTGGAGAAACTGTGTAAACTTATGTATCTCTCTCTTGGCTGTGTTATTCTGTATAACACTCATATATCTGCCAAAGTTCAATTTTATATTTAAATGACAGATGGTCGTTTTGCATTAAGAACTTTTGTTGTTACCATAATACCTCATAATATAAGAAATGGGCTTGCGTATCTTTCCCATCTTTTGGAAAGAGATTGACATTTTTCAAATAAATGCCTTTCAGTACAGTAGCAAACACTGTTGGGGTTATAGAATTTGTTAAGTATCATACATGTTTTCTGTGTATCTTGTTGCATTTACTTTTTTAGATCTTACTGTCCACTGGCTCACTTCCCAAGTGGCCACAATGGCTGGAGCTAAGCCAATCAGAAGCCAGGAGTCAAGAACCTCTTCTGGGTCTCCCATGTGGGTGCAGGGTTCTAAAGCTTTGGACCATCCTCCACTGCTTTCCCAGGCCACAAACGGGGCTATGGGATGTGGAGCAGCTGGGTCATGACCCAGCACCTATATGGGATCTTGGTGTGTGCAAGGTGAAGATTTAGCCACAAGGCTATCATGCCGGGCCCCTGCATTTACTTTTAAAATGTGTGGCTTCTCATGTCTTCAAACGTTGGCTTACAATTAAGGAACACTTAAATTCATTTGCTTTGAAGAAACTACTGTAACAGATTTGTGTAACTGAGCATACACTGAGTTTGGTTGGTTTTTTGTTTTTTAACCACTTGAAAGAGATCTTCCATCTGGTAGGCGATTCCCCAGATGGCCACAGTGACCAGGACTGTACCAGGCCAAAGCCAGGAAACAGGAGCTTTTTGAGGTCTTCCTTGTGGGTGGTAGGCCATCTGCTGCTGCTTTTCCAAAGTCACTGCAAGGGACCTGGAAGATGCTCAATTTTTAAAGTCCATTGTGATTTATAATCTCTTGCCTGTTTATAACAGGTGTCTTGTTCCTATCCTATGTGTAATTGTTGAGAAATAAGGGTTTAAAAAAATAGTGAATGATGCATCTTACTTTATAAATTCAAGTTAATGTTCTTTAGAGGAACAAGTACCTGAAAATATGTATGTCCTGAGAAACTGTTTTGGTGTGAGCTCCAGGAGCTTGCAGTCTCATTCACAAAGTGAGACCAGGCTGTCACAAGTACAGAACCCCACACCAGCAAGTGTGGGAAGCTTAGCCAGGGCCTTCATTTTGGCGACTCATAATTGTCAGTCAGTTTTCTAGCTCACCATATTGATGGTACTGAGAGCTGAGACATCAGAATGCTCGAATGCTGTCTTCAGCTGGTTAGAGATGTGCAGACATAGACTCTGGCTTCAAGTTGCTTATTGACCACTGTAGGCTAGTGCAGGAGGATTATCTGAAGATACTGACATGATTGTACAGTAAGGTAAGCTGCTACCCCAACATGTCACATCTGATTGCTGGTTGATCTGCTAATGCACCTGAGAAAGCAAAGACAAATTGCCACAAGTTCTTTGGCAATCTTAGCTTCTGGCCTCAGTTGACCCAGAACTGGCTTTGAGGTCATTTGGAGAGTGAAAATGGAAGGTCTGTTTTTCCCTCCTCTTGTTGTGCCTTTCAAATGAATGGATATTTTTTAAACGATAAAGTGCAAAGGGAACAGCTGGATCTACTGGGTCTACAGAATATCTATTTCTAGGATAATTTAGAGCTGTCTTGAGCCTTTATGAAATGTGTGGAACTAGAAGCGTGGCTAGTGTTGCAGGCACTGTGCAGCACTGCTGGTTGAAGCTTAATCCTCTGTAGGATTACCTTCCTCTAACCTGCTGTACTGTGTAATGTGGAAACCATTACATGGACACATGAGATAATGCTAGGGAATGAGTTTCATCGTGACAATGACCACTAACCAAAAATCACGTAGTAGATTGTGTCTCTGAATATTCAGAGAATGGGTTACTAAACATGAGAAAGATGAAGTTGCTAATTGATACCTAAAGCCTCATGAATGTTTCTGAGGAAAGCAGCTCAGGTTATCATCGTGACATCCACATCTACATTAGAACTGATAGGATTCCCGGTGACTGCTTCTCACCCTTCTAGGAGGGCAGCTGGAAAGGCCCAAGGGCTAAGGTCACTGCCGACCTGGACGTGGCTTAGGTTAGCCCAGCCATGGCCCTGGAATTCGGGAGTGAGTCAGCAGATGGATAATCTCTGCCTTTCAAATAAATGGGAAAATAATTTGTAAATTCCTTAATTTAAAAAATGTGTACAAATCACTGAACTTAAAATCATTCTTACAGAACTAAGTAGAAATATATACTTCATAACAAAGGGTGCAGTGGTACAGTGAATCCTAGCAGGCACATGGCAGACTTCAGGACAAATGCAGGTACTGCCACCCCAGGACCAAAGAGAACCAACCCTCTGTGGCCTGAGTAAATTGTCGAATGGGTACCCAATGTCACGCTGCTTTTCCAGGGTAAGGAAATGTGAACTTGGTCACCTCTAGTTTGCCATGTTCAAGCAGGAAGTCCATAAAGGATGCCTCACAGAATTGGAGCTCATCTTTAGTTTAGCCAGCAGCTTCCTATGGCCGAAGTTTCCTTGTTTTTGGCTCAGGTTGGACATTAGAGTCTTGGGTACTCCCGCCCTGGAGTTGAATGGTGTTCTATATTCACCATTCATCCTTTCTGCTGTGGATTTCTGGGAATTACTGCCAAGATCTCTGATTCTCTGGAAATGGAATCCAAAAACCACAATTTAAAAGCAAAGATGCCTGTTGCTACACGTAGGCCAGTTTTATATTTCAGTTTGATGAATGAGTTTTTTTCCCAAAGATCATTTGCATCAAGTGTGTGCAATTAGACTTCAATTCTAATCTATTTTCCACAAATACAGTTTTCTCTTAACCTTAATAGTCTTACATTAGCATCACCCAACTTTGCCAGAGATCGTCGGCTTGTGGCCTGACCCAGTAACTCACATGAGCTACCACATTAACGCAGAATGGCCTCAGTGCAGCAGAATGAAGGCTCTGCAGTTCTGGTCCATGGGATCACCTGCTACCCAGGGTATGCAGTAAAATTTCCACTTGGAATGGGTTCTAGTGGCTTCTTTTAAAACAATAAAAACCCTTGATTTTTTTCTAAAAAGTGGTATTCACATGGTTGCAAATTGGCATTTAAAGAAATATAGGCCATTGTCAGCATGGCGGGATGGTATGCCACCAGTAGATCAGGCCTGAGGTCTACACCTGGTATGGGTGCTGTGGATTACCCAAGGAAGGGGGATTTGGAGACTACTGAAGGAGTACTTTACAGGTGTGGAATTACTGTGGGGGCTTCCACAGACCAGGCCACTGCACTCGCAGGTAAATAAAGGAGCTGAGATTGTGTGGTTTAGGGGACAGGGGGAACCAGATGATATGTCTGGGTCAAACTAATGCACCTGCCTGTGTAGGAGACCTAGGCTGGGCGAGGTGGCATCACCTGTCACCTGCCAGCACATGCCAAAGCCAGGACTGGAGGGTCTGCCTAGCAGGCCACAGTGCTCACCAGTGAGTGTTGGGGCAGTGGTGAGCCATTGCAGGGGTGGTTCATGATATTGGCATACAAGAGAACCGGGTCTGGGGATAGATTCTGGGCTCAGATTTGTGGGATCACTTCTGGGGCTGAAGTACCCCCTGGTTTGCATGAGAGCTAGGGGTGCTGGTGGACCAAGCCAGGCATGACCACAAAGCTCATTGAAACGGGAACTGAGGTTGGAAGCAGGCTGGGCTGACCCAGGCTGAAGTACCATGGGCACACTGAGAATTGGGGTCTGGGAGTGGGACAGCCTGAGGCACCCACCAACACATGGGCCAAGACTGGGGATGAACCATGCCAGGCAGAGGCTAGCAGCTGCTGATGCCCATGAGATCTGGGTCTGGGAATAGATCTGGTAGGGGAGTTTGGGGGACCTCCCCTTCTAGGTTGTAGCTATTGTGGGTGGGCCATGGCCAGCTGCGTCAGAGGTCAGAACAACCATGGGCAGGTACAAGATCTGGTGCTGGGAGCAGGTTTGGTAGGGGACTGCCCTGCTAGGCTGCAGTCCCTGCTGGTGAACGCAAGGGCTGGGGTGGACTGGGCTGAACATGGCTGCAGCATCCCGTGGCATGTCAGTTGGCTAGGGCCCAACACCTGCTAGCACTCATTAGAGCCAGAGTGGGTGTGGCCGGGGATGGGCCAGATAGGGCTAGGCTGTAGCACCCACGGTGAGAGCTGGAATGGGTGTGGGCCAATTGCGCAGGGCCACAGTACCCACTGGTGAATGCTTGGACTAGAGGCAGGCCATTCCAGCTTGGCCCAGCACCCATCAGTGTGAGATCCATGACTGGGAACTGGTCTGATAGGGACACTTGGAGAACTCCTGTTAAGATGCTGCTCCCCCTGGCAGGTGCCAGAGCCAGGACAAGGTGCTGGCCAGGCTAAGTTGGGTCGCAACATCTACCAGTTCACACGAAGGTTGGGACTCAGGTCTGGCCAGTTTGGGCTAAGCGGCAGCACCTGCCAGCCTGAGTTGAGACTGGGGGCAGGCTGGGCAGATCCAGGCTGTAGCACCTACTAGCTAATACCAAGGCAAAGTGGGTCATGCCACTGGGCAGATCCAGGCTGTAGTACCTGCTGGCTAATACCAAGGCAAAGTGGGTCATGCCAGGTTAGGCCACAGCACCTACCAGCATATGCAAGACCCCAGGCTAGGAGTGGCCTGGTAGGGGAATTTCAGGAGCTCTCCTGTTGAGCCACTGCTCCCACTGGTAAGTGTAAGAGCTAAGACTGGGGGCAGATTGGGCTAGGCAGGGCTGCAACAATTGAGGGGCCTTATGTGAGCTGGATTTGGGGAAGGTCTAGGCTAGTCTAGGTCACTGCATTCGCTGGCATATGCAAAAGCCAGAATAGGTATGAGCCAGCCAGGCTTTGCCACAGCATTCATTGGCAAGTTCTAGGACTGGGTGCAAGACATGTCAGGCTAGACTGCAGTACCCCCTGGCAAGTGCAAGATCCAGGGCTAGAAGTGGACCTGGTATGGAAACTTGGCACTCCTCCGCTAGGCTGTGACTCCAGCTAGTGAGCATGAGAGCCAGAACTGAGAGTAAGCCAGGCTGGACAAGGTGGCAGCACCTGTTTTCATACATGTGGGCTGGATCGGGGTGTGAGTTGGGCTGAGCTGAGCTGAGCTGTAGCACCCATGCCAGATGAGATGTGAGGGGCTGGATTTGTTTCTTGTACATGCTGGCACGAGTAGGAACCTGGGCTGGAGACAGGCCTGGCTGAGGCTATTGGTGTCACCCCAAATGGGCTGCGGATCCCACTGGTGTGTGTAAGGGCTGGGTTTGTGGTAGGCTGGATTGAGTTAGTCTGGAGCAGCCGTGAATTTGCATAGGAGATGGGACTAGGCGTGAAACTGACTGGGCAACTGCATTCATCAGTGCAGGTGAAGGATGTGGATGTTGGACTAAATCAAATCCTTCACTGACTGATACAGAGTCAGGTCTGGGGTCATCCCAGGGGGAGGTCTCTTGGGAGACTTCCCAGCTAGATGATTGGACTCAAACTCCAGACACAGGGACAACTGCAGAGTGTATGGTCCAACCTTGGAGTGCATGTGTTGGGACTGGGCTTCCTCAGTTGCTGATTGATGGCTGTGCAGAAGACAGCATGTCCAGCTGCACACAGGAGACATGACAACTGGCTCATTTAGGCTAGCAGAGGACACTGAGTGCCTCGTCAAAGGATGGAAAGCAGAGGGGTTGGACAACTGTCCTGGTCAAATGTTGGCAGGAAATGTGTGGGTGTGTGGATGCGCTAAGGAGGACTTTGTCAACCAATGGACCTTGGAAATATTTTCTCACCCTTGAAGTAGCAAAACCAACAGTGTCTCAGAATTATCAAAATCACTCAAGTAATAGCCTTGGAACATTCTTCCCCACATCAGGGTCTCTAAGATAACATCAAATGGCCATTCCTCAACCCTGGCTGCTGAGGTAGTTTGCAGCAAGAGGCAATCCCATCTCTTATCTTCCCTGTGCCCCTCCCCGTGCCATTGTGGATACAGGAGAAAAAGAAAAAAGAGCTGTAAATATTTGTCTCACCCACCTGCCTTCATGCTTGGACCTGCCCCACCTATCAGTAACCCTATTAGGCATATATCCTTCTCAGCTACGTAAATAACATTAAAAATCAAATCAAATGAAAAATCCAGCTTCCCACTCTGGTTTCATATCCTCCCCACATATAATCACTTAAAATTATTTGAGAGATATGTCACTCATTTCCTATGGACCAGTTGATTGCCAAATGCCTGCAATGATCTGACTGGGTCAGGCCCAAACCGGGAGCCAGGACTTCAAGTAGCTCTGCCATGCGCAAAGCAAGGAGCTAACTATCTGTTGGAAGCTGGAGTTGGGAGTTGGGACTCAAACCCAAGATTTAGTCAGAGTCTGCACTAGACTAATACCTGCCCCAGGTAACCATTTCCAAACATTCCTTCTCTTGCTGTTGCTGACATGAGCACCTTGTTTAGCTGCACACAGTGAAGTCTGTGACTGAGCTTTGCCTAGCGTGGGGTGTTTGGTGGAGCTGATGGGACTGCAGCTGTAGGTGCCTGGTGGACAGATGAAGGACTGCACGGCCTGCAGAGGGAGCGAGTGAGATCACAGCTGTGAAGGCCCAACTCAGCCTCACAGCTGCCTAGCTGCTGCCGCGGTCCTTCTAACCTATCCCTCCTTGAAGCAAAGAGGGACAGTCTTACCAGCAATCCCCACCTCACCAGCCAGTGTCAGGGTCAGGGGTGTAATCTGAAGCCAGGTGGATTTCTCTGAGGGCACTGCCAAGCACCTCCCAAGGATCATGGTAATGTGTACCCTGTGGTAGAGGAGATGGCTGAACTTGGCATTCCCCTGCTCTGACCCCTTGTATTGATCATTTCTGCCTTTCACACCACTTCACCTGAACGCTGCCCAGCTAAGTGCTACCCACACAGAGCCTGACTGTACCCCATTAGGGGGTCATGGCTGAGGGTCACGTCAGGTTGTTCATCCTTGCAACCACCCTCATCAGAGGTGCAAACTTGAGCCATGCCCAAAGACATAATTCTTGATCAGCTTGAGGGCAGTACTTAGATAATGAGATTGAAACTGAATGTGAATCCAGGTGGCTCCTCTCTGCTCAAGACTGACTGCAAACTCATCCAAATAGACCCACCTCATTTAACTCCTTGAATATCTGTGTTCAAACAGGAAAGAAACAAACCAGCCCCGTGTGTAATTTAAGATTGTTGGAGAGGGATTGAGACTGCACACCACATGTGAAGGGTGAGGATGGGCAGCTTCTCCTGGAGAGCAGGAAGTGTCCACTGGGCTTCAACAGCGACATGGGCTGGAACTAGGTTCCTCATAGGGATGTTGTGCTTGGGGGTGAACGTCTTTCTGGCCAGATGAAGGAGTCACTGTCACTAGAGTTTTGAAAACCCATAACTTCCAGGAGGAACAATCAGCAGCCGCCTTCCTGGAGGCCTCAGGCTGCCCATCTCAGGGAAGAACATGACTATGAGAGAGAGGAAACACACTTTCAGATAGAAGGGGGTTTCAAAATGTCCTTGGGGAATGCATGCTACAAAAACCTGTTCATGAACCTGAGCCAAATAAATTATTAGAGTGAGAGCACCCTTCTACTGAGTTACTCCCCAAATGGCTGCAGCAGCTGGGACTGGGGCTGGGCTGAGCCGGGAGCAGGGAGTTCCATCCAGGTCTCCCGTGTGGGGGTGCTGAGCTGGAAGCAGGGAGTTCCATCCAGGTCTCCTGTGTGGGTCGGAGCTGGGAGCAGGGAGTTCCAGGTCTCCCATGTGGGTGGCAGGTACCCAACTACTAAAGTCATCACTGCTGTTCAGTAGCAGGGAGCTGGTATCAGGAGCAGAGCCAGGACTCAGTCCCAGGCACTCTGCCACCGGGTGAAGGATCCATGCGATGGCCAAACACCGGCCCCTGACTTAGGTTTACATTTCATGAAGTACCTTCATGTTAGCAACAAGAGTTGGATCTGCTGATTTGGTGTGTTAGCACCAGTTTTCAATAACCCAATCTTTTTGTTGTGGAGTGTGAGATCACACTGGACACAGTGTAGAATGTTAGGAAGAGTCTTTATTGCCCAAACTTGGCAGAAGTCAGAGTTTTTTAAGCTCTCCTCAATCAGATCGAGAGCCATACAGGACAAAGATTCCGTACATTTGATTAACTAAATGCAGGAGGGAGAAAGAGGGCTGCCAGAGCCCAAAGTTTTCCTGTAGTTAATTAACCTAACCTAGCACAATAAGAGGCAGGAGGGGCCAGGTGCATGCAGCCTCTGGAGCCATTTCTGCACTGTCAATTAACTTGAATGGAGCGGGAAGGCAGTTTCACGCATTCAATTAACTTGAATGGTGCAAGAGGAGGGTAGGGCGTGGAAACAGGGGCAATGTCAATTAATCCAAGGGGGTGCTAGTTTCTGTACCTCAAAAGCAAGTACAGTATAAGAAGGAAAAAGGCTTCTCAATTGAGTCCGAAATCCAGTGTTACCGGCATTTGCTGTCCCTTTACCCCTTCCTTGCTGCTGGTATGCCACTGCTGAGTGTTAGTCCCTTCTCCCCCAATGTGCCCTCAGCTCCCACATCCAGGCAAGAAACAGAATTCAAGAGTGCTGTGGCCATTTTTATTAAGGGAAATAGGGGAGGTGTGGCTGCTGCGGACTGGGCAACAGGGATTCCATCTCAGGGTTGGCGGCACCTTGTTCTCTGGGAACTACTCCAGCTTCAGTTCATCCATAGAAAGTCAGGGCCCCCTGGGGAGGAAAAGCCAGATTGGAGAGTACCTTTCTCAGACATCAGAGAGAGCAGGGCAACAAGGAATTCGGGTGGGGAACAAGGTGCAGCTGTCTTTTCCAAGGTGCGTTTCCGGGAGCATCTGTGGAGCAGGCACTGGGGCAAAGCACTACAGCCCACTGGCTGCCTCCCTAAGAGGGAATCCCTCCATAGCCCCCATACCCTTCACAGCCTCCGACCATTAGACAACACAAACTTTGCCCCTGGTTTGGCATAGTGAGGACAGGAGGCAAGATGTCCCACCTAGGAGGGGCCCAAGAACCCAATTACCAGTAGTGACTTCACGGCGCCCACAGCTTCTGGGCCCAGTTCAGTCACACACTTGCGGGAGCCCTCGATGAGGTGCTGCACAGGGATGCCCAGGCTTGCCAGTATGAATTTCAGGATACTGAAGCGGCTGAAGAATGGGCTGGCCAGGGCCCCAACCCCAGCTTCCACGGCCCCAGCACCAGCCTCTACTGCCCCAGCGGCAGCTTCCACGGCCCCAGCACCAGCTTCCACGGCAGAATCCAGAGCAGATACAGGTTGGGCCACAGGCTTAGCCACACTGTTCATGAAGAAAGCCACAGCTGCGGACAGAAGCACAGCGGGGATGGGACTGGGTCACACAGTTGCAAGCAGGGATGCCGCATAAACCCATGGGGGAACCCACAACCTGCCCAATATCCCGGATCCCCGGGGAGAGGACCGAAACCCAGAGGCTCTCACCAGAGTGACTGAGCAGGACTAAGCTGAATGCCAGGCAAGCTGCAGCGAGCTTCATGATGGATGTCGGGACTGAAGATGAGCTTCCCAGAGTCCAGCCCCGAGGACCTCATATATCGAGGCGGGAGCCTCACCCACCAGCCCAAGAGGCACACTGTTTGTTCAGGCCCAGCCTAGCCAGCATGCTGACGTGACCGGTGGGCCCTGGGAAACCTGTGCCCCTAACCTGCCAGGATCATGAGGACTTCCTCTTGGCAGGATGTCCCAGGGACAGACACGGAGGCTGTCCTTTGTCCCTATGGCCCTCCTGTACTGCGGCTTTTCTCTGTGAGCTGACCTCATCACCCCAGCCTTGCACCCCAGCAGTGCAGGTCCAGGTGAGAAGAGGCTGGGTGGAGGAGGGGCGGGTGCAGTGCCCAGGTCCTGGGCTAGGACTAGAGCGAGGGGCCCCCATCCCATTTCCACCCAGATGGTGGAAATGTTAGCTCAGAGATGTCCTAAGGAAGCCAGACTGGCAAAACCACCAGGGAGGGCACTCCGTGTAGCTCCTCCCCAGACCCCTTTTCTGGATGGACTTCAGGCAGGTGCTAAGGTGGAGGGTGGGCCTGGCCCTTCTTCCTGTCTTTGAAGTCAGCCATGAAGCCAGGGGAGGTCCTGGTGTGTCCTCAGCCACTTGTCACCTGCAGAGCACTGTGGAGCTGAAGGGCAGAGTGTATATTTGTCTTGAGCCGGGCACTTGGTGGGAGATTCTGCTGTACTGGCCAGTGGCCCTGCAGCCCCTGAGCTGCTGTGGCCAGGCACAGCTGGGGCAGCTTGGGTGAGTATGCACACATTCCCACTGTTTCCACTATGGTGGCATCTTGCCTTGGCTGCTGTTCTGGGACTGTCAGTGTCAGAACCCTGGAGTACAGTCATGTGTGTGTTGGTCATCGTGGAAGTGACTGCAATTGGAAATGTGCTTCCAGCTTGGAAGGTCCAATACCTTCCAAGGCACATTATGGGAGGAATATTATTCATGAGGCAGGGGCCAGGCCCTGTGCATTGCTGTGGAAGCAGCAGGTCCTGGGGCCATCCCCTGTGGGTCCCAAGCCTTGTTCTCAGAAGGGGACCTTAGCCACCTGGATGCTAATCTGGCCAACCACTCTTCTGAAAATCCAGGGCCAGCAAGCCTTCTCTTTATCACTGGCTTTTTTTTATTGTTAATAACATTGTATTATGTGTTACAGTTTTATGGGTACTGGGATTCCACCCACCCCTTCCATAACCCTCCCCCCATGGTGGATTCCTCCACCTTGTTGCATAACCACATTTCAAGTTCAGTTGAGATTCCTTCATTGCAAGCATATACCAAACATAGAGTCCAGCATCTTATTGTCCAGATACAGTTTCAGTTACTCAAAGTCAACTTCAGTCTCAAAACACTAAGCCAAAAGGACTTACACTTCCTCTTGTTCCTGCCCATGGTGCATTTCCCCCTTTTCCTGCACCTCAACAGGATACTGTTTTTGGCCCCAGGGATCTCACTGAGTGTGTCCCAGGAGCTGACCTGGGAGACCCTCCCACTGAAGACTTGAGGACACAGCATGCAGCTTGCAGAGGCCAGGCGGAGGTTAGCACTCACACACTCCCAACAGCTCACGGTTGCTGCTGTTGCTGCTGTGGCCTCCCTCACCCATCCTAGCTCTCTCCATCCTGTGAGGTCACCTCCCCGCACCCTTCCAGTTTCACTAGCTTAGAGGGTTGGGGAGGGTAGTGCCTGCTACCCAGGAGCTCAAAGTGGGAACAGTCCTCCTCTAGGGGGCCCCAAGGCTCTAATCCCCAGAGAACAGCTTCCCAGTAAAGGTGGGCCAACGTCATCCATTCCACCACCACTAGGGGTCCAGGTGAACTTGCCCCAATTGAGGCTGGGCTGCTTCTTTGCCCAACACTGGCTCTGAGGGCTGCTTCTCATGAGTCAGTGACACCAGTGGGCTGTAGCGGCAGCCAGTGGATGCTGTTGTAGAGTCTCCAGAGGTTGCTCCTGGGAATTGTTGGTCACTTAATGTATTCATTTGCTCATGGTTCTGGAGCCTGGTGTCACAGGGTGAGGGTAGAGCTGTGCTCCCCCTGGAAGCACTGTGGCCAACCTGGTCCTTGTCTCCTCCAGGCTCTGCCTGTTCCTCCTCTTCTGTGTATGCATGTATGTGCATGTGTGTGAAATCTCCCTGCTTTTTTTCCCCCAGATCCCATTGTGATTGTGTATAGAAGAACACACAAGAATCTCTTTCTCCTCTGATAATGGTGTCCCTCACTGGCCAGACTGCCTGTGGGAAAGAACTAAGTGTCAGGAGCCAGCACCACAGTGCTTTTGCAGGCTGACCATACACCCTCCTGGACTTGCGCTGTCTCCTTGCCACCCAGGTCAGTTGAGGGTCTCTAGTGTGGAAGTCAGAATGCCCCAGGAAGAAGACAGGGTTCAGGGCTGGGCAGCAGCCCTGCAGGCCTGCCTCCTGCTGGCAGTGTCCCAAGGGAGCACTTAGCACCCTTAGCAGATGATAGGGTCAGCCTAACTGGGCAGTGCCTGCAGGATGTGCTTGGAGCCAAACAAACATTTGTACCTCAACCGCTGCCCCAGGAATGCGGGTAGTGCCAGGGGTAAACAAAGAGTCTGGTGGCCCTAAGGTCTGGGCCAAGGACCCAAGGTGGGACTGTGAGAGGCCCAGGGTAGTCTTGGGGCTAGCACCTGGCCAACAGGTTCTCCAGCAGGATGTGCAAGCTGCCTCTCCTGGCCTCCATGGCAGCTTGTGGCCTGCACATGCACCACCCAGTGGCTGGCTGACCAGCAGCATATCAGGCAGGGATATCTGTCACCCAGGCTCGAGCTGACACCTAGGAGCTCTCTCTCTGATACTGCCTCTAACAGCCAGCTAAGTAAATTGTCAAGTGAACTGGCGGGGATGGCGGAACCCAGCTCTGTCTCCGGTGAGGAGAGCAGCAGCTCTCGGCAGATGTGCCCAGTATACACTGCTTTCAAGCCAGGTATCTTGGTGACTGCTTGCTGTGGAAGCTGCTGTTGTGGTGGTGGCAGGGGAGAGAGAGGATCTTCAGCTCTCACCTCCTGCATTTCCCAGGCTAATTAGCTCTGTGTGGAGTTGTTTTTGTGCTTCAGAATGCATGTGTTCCTGTGGAAACTGCTCCTGTTGCTGTCTGTACTTTTAAGCCAATATGTGAACAAAAACAGAACATTGCCAGGCCTAGCCTGCTCCTCCTAGTTCCTTGTCCACCAGAAGGTGGAGATGGATGGACAGCCCAAAGGGGGATTAGTTAGTTCCCTGCTTTTGGGACTTCTCCCCAGGCAACCTGGCCAGGTCAGCTATCCCATTTGTTCTGGGTCAGAACTATGGCACCAGCTGAAAAGGTTCTCCCTTTTTACGAGGTTATGTAGGCACGCTCAGGGCTTTGCTGGGAGCTGAGTTGAGGCCACCCAGCAGGACCTCCAGGCTTGCTCCTGTTGTCAAGGGTGGATGAAGAGGAGCAGGATGGGCTCTGGCATGGCCAACCAGGGGTAGCAGGGCAGGGGGCTCTCCCAATTCCTTGGATCCCTCACTGGGCACCAGGGATTGATGTCACCCATGGATCTCTGCCAACCTTGCTCCTCAGTCTCTTCCTCCTTCCTCATAGCTTAGCCCTCTGGGTCCTGGGGCCCTGGGCATTGTGGGCCACATCTTGTGTTTCCTCTTCTCTGCGCACCTGTCCTTGGATCAATATTGACCTGCTCTGACACTTCCGCATGCCTTCACCTTGGCCAGGGCCCTCTGCCCTGCAGATACTGTGCTGGAGAGTGTCTGCAAATGTGCATGGCCTTGGGCATGATGGTAGAACCAAGATGCTGCTATTCACATGGGCTTGGGTTTGAGGAGTTTGTGAAGGTAGAATTCTAAGATTAGCTCTGTCTTCAGGTAAAGCTTGATTCAGGTTCAAAGGGTGCCACTGGTAACTTGCTATTCTCTGACATCTTTCAGTTCCTATTTTCAGATTGCTCTTTCCTGGAGTGACAAGCTGGCAGCTAGCAGTGCCAAGCCTCAAACACCAGCTCAGGATCAGGAGAATGAGACCTGCTGCCACTCCCAGGATCTCCCACAGTGCTGGCCATGGCAGTGGTGGCCAGGAAAAGCATTGCATGATTAGGTCTGGTTTACTTGTGTCATCCTAGGTCAAAGTAGAGCCCTGCCAAGTCACTTGTGTGCCTAAAAGTAAGGCCAGCAAAATCTCCCTGGATGGAATGTGTTGGGGACAATGAGTAGGAATAGTACAACTTTCATGAAACACAGCTAAATGGCATAAGGGACCTGGTTGGGACACCTGGATTATTGCAGGAGAATCTGCACAGTGCCCTGGCCACATGTTGTCCACACTTAGTACCCCCATTGGACTGGGGGTCTTCAGTGACAAGCGCTGCCTCCATTCATGGGATGTGTGTTGGTGGGTAGACCTTGGGAAGTGGTGACAGCTCTCCTAACCAAGTCTTCAGATGAGGGCCCTGCCCACACTGCCACCTCAAAGCATCTGAGCCCTCCAGAGTGCCACAGTGGCCCCTCTCTTATTCTTATCTCTCAGGAATATGAGCAGGTTGATTGCAGGATTTCAAGGGCAGCTAGGCGAGGTTCCAACTACTGAGCTCTGTGACAGCCAGCTCTCATAGTGCCCAGAGCAGCTGGGAGACAAGGGCCCAGAGCTATGCCCACTTGCTAGCAGAGATGCCATCTCCTCCTGTGTCCCAACTTCTGAGGGTTTCCCTGAGTCCCCAGCTCAGTCTTCTCTAACATGGACCCTATCTGAGATGTGGTTCCAGGTGGAAGGTGTGGGTGTGTTGGGCTTGGTGCTTGGTCCCAGATGCACAGTTCTTGTTCTTTGCTGTAGCCAGGAGCAGGACTGCAGACACTTGTTGACCTGTTGCTAGCCTTAGTCTCACAGGGATGCCTTTCCCCACCAGCTTCACTTGATTCTTGTCCTTCCAAAGCAGGTGTCTTGCCCGTACCCTCCACACTTCCCAAGAGCCTTGGGAAGTCTCTCTGTGACCCCTTGGTGGGTGGGAAAATGAACAGCTAGATGGCTGGTTGGCAGGACAGTGTCTTAGCTGGGACCATCATAACACAGGATGGAAAACTGAGCAACACACTTAGATTTCTTACAACTCAGGAGGCTAAAACCTAAGACCAAAGAACCAGCAGTGTCTGGTGAGGGCTGCTGGCTGATTTAACTTCTGGCTGAGTCAGAATGGTAGGGAGAGTATGATCCCATTCATAAGGACTCCCTCCACCCCGCCATGGCCTGATTACCCCCAAGGCCCTACTCCCAAGTTCATCATCTTGGAATTAGGGTTCCAACCAACAATCTGGAGGAGAGGCCCAAAATATTCAATGCATGGTAGGTGGGCAACTGTGGTAGGTGGGTCACTGGCAGGTAGGGGAGTTCAGATAGATGCCAGTGCAGATTGACATGGTAGGCTGGGCTTCCTCTTGGCTGTGTTGCTCTTAACTTCCTCACATAGAGTACTGTGACACCATCAAGAATTTGCCCAGCAGCTAACAGATGAGATGCTAAGGAGGACAGCCACAGTGCTGTCTGGGGTCCCCCACTCCACCTTCAGCCCTGGGCAGCCTCCAGTCTAGGCTCTCTGTCCAGTAGTCTATGCTGACCTCTCTCAGTGATGCTGCTGCTTCTTCCTGAACCCCAGGTGGCGATCTGGTCATGGACGGGTCTAGGCATTCTCTGTGGGGGAGGTGCACTGGACTTTCAGAACAACCTGGAGCAGCAGAGCAATGGCCTGGGAGTGTGGCCTGTGAAGAAGGGGGCAGAGCCAGTGTTCTGTGGGCCACTGCTCCCTGGGGCTCCTCCTCCACAGGCCAGAGCCCAGCAAGTCTGCAGGAGGTATCTTTCCTCCTACGGTAGAAACCTCTCTGCCTTCCTAGGACCTCAGGAGCCACCTTCCCACCCTGGACTCCTCCATCTGGACCTCATACCTCCCAGGCCTGATAAAGCCAGGTAGCAGGTTCTGGCATCCACTGTGGTTGTATGCTTTCCAAATATACAGACTGGATGCCTGCAAGCACCAAAGACTCTCCTGGGAATGAACTCCCCTTTCCATGTGACCTCCACAGCTGACCTCACCTGTCTTTGGAGCTGTCCAGGGGTGGCCCAACCTCTCCTGGCTGAGTTCCTTCAAGATCCCTTCTTCTGGAGCCACTGTTGAGCTGCTTTCAACACCAGAATCCCATATTGGAGTTCAGAAAAGCTTAGGCCTCAGCCCCCACCCTATGTGGGGGTCCTAGATGGCATTTTCTGGCTTCTGGCTTCAGCTTGGATTAGTTGTAGCTGTTGCAGCCATTTGGAAGAATGAACTAGCAAATGGAATAACTTTGCCTCCTTCTCTCTAACTCTGCCTTTCAAATAGATAATTTTTCTCTTTCAAAGGGTTCTTTTTAAAAAAATATTTAATTCACTTAAAAGTCAGAATTAAAGAAAGAATGGGGAAAGAGATTTCTCCTATCACAGAGTCAGAAATGAGCTGATCTAAAATCAGGAGCCCGGTGCTTCTTCGGGTCTCCCAGGGGTGCAGGGTCCCACGGCTTTGGGTCATCCTCGACTGCCTTCCCAGGCCACAAGTAGGAAAGTCGATCATAAATGGAGTGGCTGGGATATGAATGGTGCCCATTAGGATGTTGGCATTACAGGACGTGGATTACCTTGCTATGCCACCCACCCTCAAAAGACTCTTTCCTTTAAGGCATCATTGTCCCAGCATATCCCCCCTATAGCCTTAAAGTAGACTCCTACCCTTGGGCCTCCAGGCCCCCTCTGGTCCATCCTTGACCACGCCTTCCGATTCTGTCCTTCTCCTGGTCCCAAGCCTTTTGTTAGCCTCATGGTGCTCTTCCTGTGCTTGCTCCTCAGTCATTCCTCCAGTGGGACCTCTGGTCTCAAGAGAGCTATATAGCTCAGGGTGGTGCATCATCCTGGGCTCTGTGACCAGGACAGGTTCATGTGTACACCCTGTTGTACTCCCTTGGCTTGGCTCAGTGCAGGTATTTGCCACATCCCGTTTTAGTTTCTCCTCATTTGCCACTTGGTCAGGCCTCTCCCTAGAAGAAAGGCATGCAGAGAAAGGACGGGAGCCATTTCTGGCCACAGGTGGTAGGAGTGCCGGTGGCTAGGCGGGTGCCAACCAGCACCGGTGGCGCCTCTATGGCCATCCATCCTTGCCCAGGGAGAGGCTCCTCCTTTCGGGCCAGGGTTGTCTTCCAACCTGGCTGCGTTGTCTGCGGGGGAGAGTCAGGTGCCTGAGCTGACCTGCCTGGGTATTGCAGGCCACCCTTGCAGCTTGTGCTTCAGCAAGTGGCAGCACTGGGTCCTGGAAAGCTTTGGCCAGCACCCCAGCTGCTCCCAGCGACGCGCTGCTGCCCTCTGCTGGAGACCTTGCCCACTTCCCCGCTTCAAACCTGGGATACTGGAGGGTTGCCTGCCCCATAGAGGTGCTTCCTCAGTGGACTTCACCTGCATGTTAAGAGTTCCAGTGCTTGGAGTCCACTCAACTCAGAGACTGGCATCGGATTTATTATTATCTCTTGTTAAATATTTTAAATCTTTTCAGAGAACATTTGGCTATGGGGAGGGGTTTTCTCTTCCAGGACATCCTTGTGCGCACAGGCACATGGTGTGGGGGTGGGGTGGGGTGGCACAGGCAGGTGGTACGTAAGTGGGCAGACTGCCACCAGGGGAGCCTGAATGCTTGTGTGTGCAGCAAGGGCACAGGTGAGGCAGGACCAAGAGGATCTCAGGCAGGTGCATACTCAGGGCCCCTAGGGAAGCTCCCTCCGGCGCCTGTCCCGCAAGCAGCTCGGAGTGGGCAGAGGAACAGCTGGGCCTGGGTTCCAGGGCTAACTAGCACAATATTTCTCTTGGGAGAGTGACTGGGCAGATGTGTCGGGAAGATGGGCCAGAGGGAGGGAGCATTGGGCAGCCAGGAGAGGGGACCAGGGCACGACCTGCAGAGAAAAGCAAGGGACTTGTCCACAGGAAAAGCAAGGGACTTGAACTGTTAGGTGACATGGCAGCCTCCCTGAACCACTGGGAGGGAACCATGGTGCAGGATCAGGTCTTGGGAGGTACCTGGATGATACATAAGGCCTGCCATAGAAGCAGCAAAAGGGGGAGGGGTGGGTGCAGCTATGCCAGGTCATCCATCCATTGGTTCTTTAGGTCCGGGCAGGCAGGTGCATCTACAGGCTGTCTCCAGGGTCAGCTGGCAACTGTAGCAGCAGCAGCCACAGTGTCTCAAGTTCCAAAGTTGAATGGGGCAGCCCCCGAGCTTCACTGTATGGGTGGGGTTCACTCTGCAAGATGATTGCCCGCTTATGAAGAGGCGTCCACCTCCCGCTGCCGCTGCTGCTGTGAGAGGAGACCTGTCCCCTGGCTGTAGCCTTTGAGAAGCAGTGGAAGGAGAGGCCGGGGCAGGTGGTTTGTGTGCCAACTCCACTTCAGTGGCTGTGGGATTGCGAGACACACACATTCCTCAACAGAAGACAAGTCTCCCCCAGTCCCCGCAGGGCTGTTCTTCATCGACACACCCAGTCCAAAGGGTGCACCTACACACAGGGACCTAAATGGCATCTGAATGTGATGGACAGTGACTGGGGACAGGTGTGGCAAGACAGTGTGGGAGCCCTGGAGCCCGGGATTCTGCTTCTCCCAGCTCCCGAGGCTGCAGAGGGAAAAGGAAACTCCTCCTGGGCCAGGACCAAAGGAGGGAGTTCCTGGCCAAGCCCCCACCCCTCCAGCTGGCAGGGCCCAGGCTGCAGTGAAGAAGGGTAGGCAGGCAGACACAGGGGCTGTCACCATCTTCACATGGTCAAGACAGCTCCCCATACTTGCTGTTGTAGAAAACCTGGCCTCCTTGCACAGTCTCCCAATCAGACCGTTGCTGTCTCCCTTGGGGACCAGGGTGCACCCTGGTCCTGTCTGCAGCCTGACCAGGTCCTTTACAGCTGCCAAGATAAGGAAGGTACTGTTAGAAGGTCAGGAAGTGAGAGAACTGGTGCTGGGTTGCAGTCTCATAGGAATCACCAGATGGCAACTGGAGCATGAAGCAAGCTCAAGGCTTTGGGAGCCACACACAGCCCAGCCTGATCTGATCTGTCCCAGGTCTGGACATGGGGCTGTGAAGAAGGCCCAACTTCGTACCCCCCAAACCTGCCTTTCTCCCTCAGGAAATGGCTCCAACATTCACTCAGTTGCTGAAGACAAACCCCTATCTGTGGCCCCTGCTTCCTTTCTCCCCGCTCCCAACTTCACATTCAGTGCATCCAGAAGTCCTGTCTACTCTGAACCCAGATTGTGCCAGGCTCGGCTGCCCACTCTTGCCCCTAATGTGGAGGGCTGCCAACCCCTTAGGCTCTGCCGAGTCCCTGTGTTCTCTGCTGCTCATCCTGCAGTCAGGCTCCTTAGGTCAGATGTGATATCAGAGTCTTCACCCAGCCTCACTTTCTAAAGGCTTCCCATGGCTCTAGGAGGAAAGGCTGAGCTTCTTCCCAGGGCCTGTGGGGCCCTGCCAGTTCCAGAGCCACTCACCTCTGCCCTAACAAACTCTCCTTTGGTTTTTGAGAGAGTGAGTTAGTTGCTGTTTTGTCTTGCACAGGGCTGAGAAAGTCTACTGCCAATCTGACTCTTTGTGACTTGTTTTTTTAACCTGAATTATTTTTTTAAAAACTACTATTTATTCAAGCAACACACACACACACACACACACACACACACACACACACACACACACACACAGCCACAAATACACTCTCATTCACTGGTTCCATCCCTACATTCCTGCAACAGCCAGGGTTGGACAGGACCAAAACTGGGAGCTGTGATTTTCATGAACTCATCTGTGCAGCTGGCAGGGTCCCAACTCCAACTCCCTGAGCTGCTTTTCAGGAGCTGGGGCTGGTGCTGGGCATTGAACCCAGTGACTCTGATATGGGTCTCGGGCACCCTAATTGGCACCTGAGCTACTAGGAGTGTGCATCTTCAGGTTGACTCGCTCTGTGCTGACCCTCACAGTGTTCTATCCTGATTCATTTCCCCCCAGGTATTCTTGCAAGGTGGGGAGTGAGGTCTCCTTTTCTTTACTGAGGAGCGCTATCTTGAATTGTAGGCTTCAGATGTTAATTCTGTCACTGTTTGCATTTCCTCCTCCAGGGATTGCAATGCTACACATACTGGTATTCTCTCCTTGTCTTCTCTAATCTGTAACTTTCTCTCGAGTTTCCTGGTCATGTGTATAGCAGGTATCTGCTATGGTAGGTGCCTGAGCTCGGAAAGAAGCAAGCTTCTCTCTCTTCTAGCTGTATCTACACATGCCTGTGAAAACTTATTTTTAGAAATTAGGCAAAAGATTAATAATGATAAATAGGACAAGTATCAAATGACAGACTTTCCAGTCTAAAGGTCCCATGAAGGCAGCTTCTCTCAAAGGCTCAAATACTAACATTCATTGATATTTCCAGACACGCTGTCTCAACTTCAGCTGTGAAGAGAGATGGACTGGTGGCACCGTTCCCAGTATATGCTGCCCTTGGGAGGATCTGCCTTTTGGCAGTTGTCACTTACGTCTTTGCCTTGTCTGTCTTGCACATGCTTGCATTTCTCAGTGGCAGAGCAGCTCGTGTTTTACTATCCACCTAATTTCTGTGCCAGTGCTGTCTTGCCAGTACCTGCTCTGGACAATTTTCCATTGTAATGTTTAAATCCTAATACCCTGTTTTATTCTTATGATGACTTTGCATGGACAGTGCTTGTTTTTGCCATTCATGATTATTCATGTCAGGATTTCCTGCACCGGAAACAGAAGGTTCTTCTGTGCGACGTGTGAGGGCTGGGGTGGTGCTGCGGTTTCAGTGTGCCCTTGGAAGTTCACAGTGCCACAGCATTGGAATTGAGACCTTTAATTAATTCCATAATGTTGTATATTGATACTGAGGTTTTATTGGGGCTTTTAACTGACCGGATCTTTACTCTGTTAGCCCTATCTTCAGACTAGAGAAGGTCTCCCCAAGAGGCCACTGAACTTATCTGGACAATAAGACGCTGGACTTTATGCTAGATATGTGGTTGCAAGGAACGAATCTCAACTGAACTTGAACTGTGGTTATGCAACAAGGTGGAGGAATCCACCATGGGGGGAGGGGTATGGGAGGGGTGGGGGGAATCCCCAGTGCCTATAAAACTGTATCATAATACAATGTTAACAACAATAAAAAAAAAAAAAAGAAGTGGCTGGGTCACAAGGGCCATCACAGGAGTGGGTCTGTTGAAACAGCAGTTCAGGTCTGTCTTCCTCTTATGCTCCCTTCTGCCTTGGAATGGGGTGAGAAGCCCCAGCACCATTTGGGATTCCCAGTCCCAGAACTGTGAGTCAAAGAGATTCCTGCTCATTCTAAGTTAATCAGGCCCAGGTATATTGTTACAGCAATGGACACAAATGAAGACAGCTAGCTTTCTTCACTGAGAAGTGATACAACATTTTGCATCTTTGGCGGCACTCATGTCTCCATGCAGCCACCTGGCTTTGGAACCTGAATCACATTGGTGCCAGGGTTGCAGTGCCCTGGAGAGTGCTGGACCCTCTCTCTGGCTCTCTCATGCAGCCACCGGGCTTACCCATACCCCAGAGTTCCCAGCTCTTCTTTCACTTTTGGACTCAGATGACTGCAAGTGGGATCCAGCATCCTGGCCCCTGAAATGGCCAGATGAGACTAACTTCCCCCTGGGGTGACTCTGACCAAAGGTTAGCAGGAAGGCACCAGGTAGGTAAACGCATGCCTTCTTCCCCCATAGACCTCTCCCAGGACATCTGTACCGTGTACACAGGTATATGTGGGTGTGAATGTATAGTGTGTATCATTCATGTATGTATGTGGTATGAACATGTACCATGCAGATATTATGTGTGTACAGTTTTATGTGGTGTAAATGTATAATGTGTATCATGCAGTCATGTATGTAGTGTGCATTTTGTGTATAAGTATGTGTGCTGTGAGTGTATAACGTGTACCATGCATGCATTTATGTGGTAAGAATGTGTTCCATGTGTGTACAGGTATATGTGGCATGAATGTATAATATGTATCATGCATGTATGTATGTGGTGTGAATATGTACTGTGTGTACGGGTGGATATATGTGTGACCTTCTGAATTCTTGATGCTGTCTGCCTACCTTAGGATGTTTATCTTCTGGGACTTTCTTTTTTCACCACTAAGTAGCACTTACTGCCTGTTATTGGCCTTTTAGAAGCAGTGCCTTCCCCACACAACAGGCCCTGGTGCCTCCAATGTACATCCCAGCACCGCTGTCTGCTGCTGTGCCTCAGCCTCCCTGGTCTGTGCTGCCACTGTCCCCAGGCCCTTGTCCTGCTCCCTTCCTGGCACATCCCCAGCATGGTTCATGCTTAGATGTGCTGGCCCCAGTGTCCAGCACAGAGCCTGTCTGAACTTCCTCACAAGCCTGGCATGGTAGCCTGGCTTGGTTTTAAGCAGTTGTGCTGTTTTTAGCATTTAAATTTAAATTATGATTTAAATGGTATCTCCCTCTTGGTTCACTCTTTCACTTAATTACCTTTTTGTTTTTTGTTTTTTGGAAAGCTAGTTTGCTGTTTGTGAAAGAATCTTCCCTCCAAAAACTAGTTCTGCAGGTGTAAGTACTTCTGACTTTCCAATCCCAAGTCTAATAGAAAATGGAAGTTAAATGATAGAACTGGTAGAGGCAGGAGCGGGTCAGGGGTCATTCCTGGGCCAACCATACCACTAACACAGCCTTTGGATGCTGGTGCAAGCAACAACCAAGCCATAATGTTAGTGACGAGAAAAGCCAGGTGAAACCAATGTGATCATGTCCTCTGGCTACAAGGATAGGCTCCTAGAGACCCTGTGGATGGCTGGGCTGTACTTGAAGGCCTTTTCATCTTAATGGAGCTCACACTACACAGTATCTGTCACTTGTGCAATTAAAAGTGTGACAGCAAAGCTCACACCAGTGACTCACTCTTACGGCACATCACAGATACCTCTGTACAGATACCTCCTGTGCTAACTTGGAGACTTTCAACTCTCCTTAAGCGGTTTTCCAGCATCACTATGCCTCACGAGTGGTGAGTTACTGAGTAAAATAAATGGAACTTAAACAAGGCAGTAGAGGCTGGCTCCAGTCACAAATGCAGTGTGGGTATGCTGCACACAGCGGGCAGAGCAGGTGCTGAGGTGTCATCATCCTACCCAAATCATGTGCCATTGAGAGCGCACTGGATCTTCATTTCTGTGAGTTTTCACTTAACAGTTTCAGACTGTGGTTGACCACAGGTAACTGAAACTGCCAATGCAGAAGCATGGTTAGTGAAGATTGATGTGGCTGATAAGGACAGTCTTATCAGTAGAGGGTAGACTACTCCGTGGCCTGGCACTGCACAAGGGGCAGGATTTACCCTGGAAGGCTGGGTTGGACAACCCCAAAGAGGACTAACAAACACCCTGGTGTCTGAGGAACAGGGGGATGGTTATGATAGCATGATTTTAAAAAGCCCTGCCATTTAAACAGCTACATGTAAATCATATTTTAAATAGACATTTAATGCATTTATTTATGCCCTTAAGAGTCTAAAGATTCAAGTTAGGACTTTTTTTTTTTTAATTCCTGGCAATCTTGTAAGGGAAACAGAGATCAACTTCAATCTAGCCCCACTCCGTTTTTGTTTTTCCCTACTGAAGAAGAAGAAGAAACCATAACAACACTAGAAGTTGCTGTCAAAGCAGCACTTGGAACACCCTCATCCAGTATTCTAGTGCCTGGGTTAGACAACTGACCCAGCTTCTGCCTCCAGCTTTCGGCTTACAGATCCTGGAAGGCAGCACTGATCACAGCACCTCTATGTGGAAGACCCAGATGGAGTACCTGGAACCTGGCTTCAGCTTTGGCATTTGCGGACTGAACCAGTGGATGGCTAGTTTCCTTCTTTCTGTCTTGGTCTCTCTCTCAAGTTAACCAATACAATTCAAATAATAATAATAAAACTTGCTAAGGATGTCCCATAAGGTCAGCCAAGGTTATCATGACCTGTTTGGCTGTGTGGTCCCCAGTCACAGTGGGTGGTTCTGGAGACTTGGGACTGGGAGGGGTGTGTCTGTGCACGGGGCGTGGTGGATTGGAACGTGTCCCACCAATGCAAAGGTGCTGGGTCACAATGGTGGTAAGAAATTGTGGGGTGGGAAACTGGGGCCAAGGATCTCATGCCTCAGAGAAGCCCACCTTCAACATACACAGGGATAACAGGGATCCACGGAAAGTTTTGACCAAGAGTGACAGGGCATGCCCCTGCCTCCCTTGCTGGCCATCTCTGCTGCATCCTCTTCTAGGAGAGTAGTGCCCACCTGGGCAGGTAAGACATCTCCAAAGGCCTTACCTGAACCCGCCTGTCCTCTATCTGCTCCAGTTCCTCCGAGGCCAGCACCATCCCACTGTCTGTCTGGTTGTCCTGTGCGGAGAGAGTGAACCAAGGCTGGGTACCACGGCCAAGGCCCTGTTGCAGGCAGCTGCCCTTAGCTAGGATGGGACCACCAGGAGCCTGTGCCCTCAGGCTCAGCACTGTCCCTGTGAAAGCAGAACTCAAATGAATATTTGGTCCATCACCAGAACAGGTAGGACAGGGTCTCTGCCATGGACAGCCTTATCCCTGGGCCAGCCTGTGCTGGGGACAGAGTCTGGGCACAAGGATTGGAGGGCACATGCCCTGGACAGTGGGCATCAGGCGAGGCATGGTGTGAACCACATGGAGGCAGGCTGCAGTCTTCTCAGATAGCAAGGTCCCCCTAGGTCTTCTGCTGGCCCCCTCTGCTGCTCCCCCTGCCCCAACCATCCTCTCTGGGTCCTCTGATGGAGGTTGATGTGGCAGGGAGGTTCTGGCTGGTCTCCTGGCCATAGGAAACTAGAACTAGGGTCTTGGGGGCTCCCCTCTCAAAGGCCTCGTGTAAGAGTTCTGGCCCTCAGGGTACTGCTGCTTTAGGAGGGAGATTCAGTGCCTTGGGTAGGGAATTGGGCCCTGAAGGAGCCAGTGTGACTCTCAAGCCCCCAGGGAGCTACATAGGAATCAGCCTGGCCCCCACTCCCAGCTTCCACCACTGTGAGCTGAGAAGACCTCTTCTCTTTTAGGATGGCAGTGTTCAAGTGCTGCATTGTCACCATGCAAGTGGACTAAGACACCTCCTGTGAACACTGAAGGCATCCCACAACCTGGGCCTGACCTTCTCTGGTACAATCTTTCCTAGTATCTCTGTCCCACTACCAGGCTTCAGATGCCTGTGGGGTGGAGTGGGGGCCCCCCTGCCCTGAAGCATACAGCCTCTCCCCTCCCCATAGCCTTTCCTTACCCCAGAGGCTTTGTAGGCTGTTGGCATCATGGGGAACTCTTCAAATGTCTTCACCCCAGAGGGACCCTGGGCCTGCACCCCTCCGGCCAGGCACCCCGGGAAGGACACACAATTGTAGTATCTATTAGGATGAAATGGAAGGTGCTGACTAAATGTACCCAGGTGCTCTCTGAAAGCTCTTTCCCTCTCCCCTCCAGGGAAGGACCCCAGGTCTGGGTTTGAGTGCTGGTCGCCTCTGATGTTTGTCCTCTGATGTCCATCGTGTGGCTTCAGAGGAAGGCCCTCGGTAGCATCCCTCCCCAGAGGGACACCCTTGCCAGCTGTGTCTCTTCTCCTGTGCAGGAGGAATCTGCTGGCACTCAGCAGTCCCTCCCTGGGCTCACAGACACTTTCCAAGGAAGTGTGTCATCACAAAGAGCCCAGCCACAAGTTGCCCTGTGCCTTGCTCTGTGGTCTTAGCTCGCTCCACTGTGGTGCCCAGTACCATGAGGCCCTTCTCTGAGCCTTGCCCATGATTTCCCCAGAGACTGGACAGGAACCAAAGTCCTTTCTTTCTAAAGCACCCAACCCAGCAGCACCAAGTGGACTGGGGCACCGGCAGGCACAGATGAGAACACTGTGTGGGTCCCTGAGCTTCTTTGAGTCCCTGAGCCCTGGGTGCCTCATGAGGACAGGAGGCACCCAATCCCACTGAGGGCCCAAGGAGGGTGGCTGACCTGGCAGCTAGGTTGTGGCGATGCAGGCTGGGTGGGCTGTCCTCCACTTCTGCCTCAACCACATGTAGTGCTGTGGTGGATGCCTGCAAGAAGCTGCTTTCCTCTGAGCTCTGAGAGTCATGAGGGGCCGGGTAACCATCTTCTCCCTCCTGGGGAGAATGGGGGAGGCGGTCAGTTTCAGGGACCCTGTACTACCCTCTATTCATCCAGCCCTGCCCATGGGACTGCTCAGGCCCCTGAGACTGAGATGGGGGCAGGATGGGCTGTGGGAGTGAGCGAGCCACTCTGAGGGAGACCAGGTTCCCAGCACAGTTTCGTGTCTAGCTCAGCAGATGCCCCCTGGACCAATCTCGTTAAATTTTCTTTTTTTGAGGTGGAAATGGAACCAAACTGCCCTGAGCCCTGAGCAGGGTTCTGAGCTTGCTCTGCCCCCACCTCCATGGAGCCCCAGGGGGCTATGTCCTGGGCAGGGTCAAGGCACAGAATGGGCACAAGGTGAAGGAATTGATAGGCCAGTGAGACAAGGGTTGCCTGGAAGGTCTGCTGAAGTGCCTGGGGTAGGAAAATGGGAGCCTGCACAGTGTGCACTGAGAGGGTAGGGCCAGTGGCTAGAGGCCTGGACATGTCACATCCTGTGCTGAGTAGTGGGTAGAGTTGGGAGAGGGCAGCCAGGGCAGGAACTCAGGGTAGGGACAGAGGACTTACCTGCTGGCCCCCTGAGGACTTACCTGCTGGCCCCCTGCTTGGAGCAGGTCACCCAAGATCTCCACTAGCTCTGAGAAGGCAGGCCTTGCTTTGGGGTTTCCGGACCAGCAGCTCAGCATGATGTGACGACTGTGGAGTACAGTTGGCTGCTGAATGAGGGTTGCTCTCAGCCCATCCCAGCCTGTGTGCCCCTCACACCAGCTCTGCCTTCCTTTAGGTTTCAGCCTGGAACACCCTCTGTCCCCAGCTGCCCTAGCTCGTAACAGACATGGAGAAATGAGCAGGTGAGCCAAGTTCCATGGGGTGAGAGACCCTGTGCCTGCACAGTGCCCCAGCCTCACCTCCATGTGCCCCCAGTCCCACCCTGCTTGGGTCCCCACCCGTGCCTGTCCACAGTCAGACCCAGGGCAGCATTGACCTCTCCTGCCCTGCCCCACGACTGCACACAACCTCACCACTGCTATGCACACTTCTTTCCCTGTGCCCAGTGGGGAGACTCACATGGCAGGGGTGGCCAGCTCTGGGGCCCGCATTCGGGTGCCATCTTTCAACCTTTGGCAGAACTCCTCGTTGATCTGCACCCCAGGGTAAGGGGAGGCCCCTGGTTGCAAGAAAGCGAAGGGTAGGGGAGCTGGCCACCAGCTGTGCAGCCCAGTCCTGTCCCCTCTCCTTTCTTAGTCCTGTCCCCGTCCTCCCACCACATGCAGAGTCCTCCCTCAGCTATTAGCTCTTCACACGACCTATTTTCTGGGGGTGACAAGAGCACCCACATATTCCAGACACATTAGCAAGGCTGAGGCCCAAGTGCCTACCCTGAGCTTCCTCCGGAAGCCCTTTTGGCTCATAGGCAGCTCTGTCCTCCCAAACCCTGACTGCTCTTTCCCTTTCATGCACCGCAGTGAGCACCATCTGTGCTGTGTTGGTCCCATTGTGATGACCTGGGGCCCAAGTCTCTTATGGAACTTGTATAAGCAAGAGAATTTGTAGAACAAGTTTGGAGCTCCCTCTAGGACTTGCAGGTATCTGGCTGTCATGTGGACCTGGGCTCAGGCCCTGGCACAGGCTTCAGTGGGTTATACCCTTGGTGGTACCAAGGTGGTCTCCAAGTTTTCAGGAGAAATGGGGGGAGGTGCTTTTAGTGGCCTGGGAGCCACCTGCCTCAAACACACTGGGCTGCTTGCTCCAGGGGTCAGCCTCCATTCCCCATCTTTGGTCTGGGCACTTTGCCTTGCACTCACCCAGGGAGAAGATCTCCCAGAGCAGCACTCCAAAGGACCAGACATCGCTCTGTGTGGTGTACACCTTGTCAAAGATGCTCTCAGGGGCCATCCACTTCAGGGGCAGGCGGGCCTGGAGGATGTAGGTGTGTCATGTGGGGAGAGGGAAGGCAAGGGGTGGAGGGGCTAAGGCTAAGCCCTCCAGCAACCCCGCCTCCTTCTGCCCAAGCTTTCACCCACTATCAGCCCAAGACAGAACTCTCCTCATTCATATTCTCATAAAAGGGTTCTGATATCACTTGTTCCAGTTCCAGACTCTCAGCCCTGCCTCCTGAGAAAATGCCATTGCCTTCCACAACTTGGAATCACCCTTGTACCAGTCCTTCCAGGTGCCATTCCTGACCCCTCTTCCTGTGGCCCCTGATGCATCTCCTCTGCCTCTCACAGCCTTTTTGGGGGGCCCCGAGGGTTGTGACTGCTCCAGACTGGCATCTGTCTGCACCCCAGCTCCCTCACTGCCTTCAAAGCTTAAGGGGCCTTCTGCAAAGGTCTGACCTCACCTCCACACAACCTACACACCCAGCAGTTACAATGAAGGATCATGTAGGCCGGGTGGCCGTCATTCTACACCCTGACCCCTGCCTGCTTTTTCTGCTCTGTCCACCCATTAGTGGAATGACCAGACAGAGGATCTGTGGCCTGAACACAGCCAGACTTCTTTCCCTGCACCAGGCCTGCCTGTCCTAGGGTAGGGTTGGGGGTGGAAGCCTCTGCTTCCCCACCCCATGGGGCAGGAGCAAACACACCGAACTCCAGTTGGAGCGCTTTGTTCCTCTTTCTTTCTCTACTGCAGGATGCCTCCGCAGCCAATGCCCTGACCTCAGATCTCAGCCCTCAGTGGGACCCGGGAGGCAGCAGCTGGGCAGGTGGCATAGCAGGCCAAGGAGCACATGTCACCCTGTGCTGGCACTTCCTGTACACTCCTGGATCGGAGAACCATAGTCCCACCTTCCATTTACCCGGCCCTGACCGTTCCTCCTCCCCATGGCCTGCACTCACGCTGCCCTTGCGAACATAGTCAGGATCTTTGTAGATGTCCCGGGCGAGACCGAAGTCACAGATCTTCACTACGTCACTTTCCGAAAGCAGGATGTTTCGAGCAGCCAGGTCTCTGTGGATGCACTAGGCGTGCAGAGCAGTGGAAGGGGCCATCAACAGAGCGCTCTGTGGTGGAGTGCTCATGCCTGGAGCTCCAGGTTGCCCCCTAAGGCAGGCTGGGGTCCTGCCTGTGCCCTGCCTGAGTCCCATTCTAGGCCAGAATATTTGTGTATCCTCAGGACATGTTGAGGAGGGGGCTTGTAGGCTTGTGGGACCACAATCAGCTTTGTACTGAATGGCCAGGACACCTCAGCAAGTCACCTCCATACTTGAAGTTACAAAGCAGGGGAGTGGCTGATGGGTCCTGGGATCCCTGTAGGGTTAAACATGGACATGGCACACCTGGCATGACAGGAGGTGGGTTTGGGCCCCTTTCTCCTCACCTTTCGGGAGGCCAGGAACTCCATCCCTCGAGCCACCTGGAAACTGTAGCACACAAGATCTTCCATGGTCAGTGGGCTCAGCCACAGGTCTTCAGCTATACACGGAAGTGGAGGTGGGCTCAGGAGAAGCCTCTGCCATGGCTTCCCTGCTCAGCCAGCCCCAAGGGGGACTCCTGCACCCCCACAACTGCAGCCTCTCTAGCTGCCAGGAAGCTCTGGGCATTGTCAGCCTCCTCCACTACCGGGTCTTTCCACCTGTCTTGGCCCTGGACTGCTCCCTGACACTGTCAGCAAACTCAACCCAAGCCAGACATCAAAACCTGCAACCTCTGACCCTGAGGACAGTCTTCAGGCCCTTACCTTCTTGGACTGGGGGCGCCCGTGCTGTCCCACCCTTTCCCATCAGGAGACGACTCAGGAGGGCCCTGTCACTATTCCTTGGACCCCGTCGATCGGCCTTGGCCCCCTCCACCATGGCGCGGAAGCACCTTCGCTGCTCAGGAGACTTTTCCTGAAGGAGGAAGAGCAGATTCCAAGGCTATCCTGTCACCACACTCTACCTGCCCACCTGCTCATAGGGGACCAACTTACCGCCAAGGGATTGAAGGCATCGCGCTTTGTGCGCAGGAAGTTGGAGAGGTTGCCATACTTGCAAAACTCCACGATCACCATGAGGGGGCCTACGATGAGGCCAGCCCCTGGTGACTGAGGGCACTGGGGTGCTAGGTGTGCAGTACTGCCAGTGCCCACCATTCCTCTATGTCTCCCACTGGCTGTCCCGTGCCATCCCACCCAGAACACCCCCAGGCTGAGCTCCTACCGTTGGGTTTGGTGCATGCCCCAAGGAGATTGACCACGTTGAGGTGGTTGCCGATGTGTATTAAGATTTTGAGCTCAGACATCAGGGCTCGGTGCTCACTGGCTGTGGCGCCCTCTGGAGGGAACAGGGCTTCAGCCTGTGCCCCAAGCCCTGCTGTCCTACCCCGCCCTCCGCACCCCCTCCAACCATGCCTCCCACACACCGTCATTTGCAGAGAGGTGGCAGGAGACACTCAGTTGACCGCACTGAGACAGAGAAGAAGGGAATAGGTGGGACATGACCCTGTCTCTGCCAGGTCTCCCTGTAGCGTCGGGGGCGGGGATGGGATTCTTGCTTGGAACCTTAACTTCCCTTCCTGGCCCTACCAAAGCTGCCCTGTTGTGGCCACACCTTTTAGCATCTTCACGGCCACCGTGTCACAGCTGCTGCCCTTGTTGATGCCGAAAGCAGAAGCTTCCACCACTTTCCCGAAGGCTCCATGGCCCAGGACTCTCCCTGTGGGGGCAGGGGTGCAGCCAGGTAACTGTAAGGAAGTAAGGGTGGGCAACAGGGGCAGCCTGTCCCAAGGGCCCGGGCTGGGACCTCTCTGCCAAACAGGAAGCGCATGGGCAGCTGCAGCGGGACAGGAGGGAGAGGACAGGCAGACAGGAAGTCCCCAGCATCCTCTCCAGGCAGGTGTGACAGGCCCACCCAGCTCCAGGCAGCAGGAAGTGACCCCTGGGGGCCTGGGAACTAGGAGTCTTGGCTGTGGCTCTGGGATGCACACCCAGAGGGACATATCAGCCAGGTGGGGGCCATCCTGGCACAAGTTCTGAGAAGTGGGTGGGGTGGGGTAGATTTCTGGCTCCAGTCTGCCCTGTGTTGGGGGGCAGGCTGGGTGCTGGCCTCACCCAGGTGTAGCCGCTCACGGGGGAACTCCCACTGGCTGGCGTCGTAGGACAGGTATTCACACTGCTCCTCCAGGGGTATCTCCCCAGGGTCCATGATGATGGACAAGTAGCCTGTCTTGATGTCGGCGTGGGCTGGCTGGGGGTGGGGGCAGTTCTTTGATTTGACCATTCTGCTTGACAAAGCAGGTGGCATCTCTTTGGGGATCTATCATCCACCCAAAGGGATGGGTTGATACTGCCCTTGTTAGAGCCTGGCAGGCAAGGACTGGAGGCTTGGGGACACAAGTTTAGGAGCTGGGGCAGGGCACTCACCCTCCGCACGTTACAGAAGATAAGGAGGAGGAGGACCCAAAAAAAGACAGCAATGACGCCAGTGCCCACGAGGATCACGATCTCCATGCTGCCTCTCTCCTCTGAGCCTGCGTGAGCAGAAAAGGGGAAGGTGCTGCAGGGTGTGCAGCGTGCAAGGGGATCCTGGCAGGACAGGTCCAGAGGCATGTGCCGCACCTCCTACGGCCACGCTAGCGGAAGAGTTGACACAGCCCTTGGCATTGCACACGCTGCATAGGTAGCGGCCGGCATCCTGCTCTCGGACGCGCTGGATGCTCAGCCTCTGGTTGGAGTCAGCGAGGTCGATTCCTGAGGCAGGAGTGAGCACAGGTCCAGGTATGTAAGCGTGGTGTGGGCCTCACTGGCGCCCGACCCCGCCCTCGGCCCGGGACCCGCCTTGCCCACCGGATTCTTCCTCCAGCAGCCGTTCGTCCTTGTACCACACAATGCTGGGCACGTGAGCACCGGCCACTGCGCACCGCATTTCCAGCGAGTCGCTCACGTTCACCAGAATGTCAGTCAGGTTCTGCGTGAGCCGCGGGGCTTCCAGGGCTGGGGGGCGGGGTGAAGAGGGGACGGAGCTAAGTGGAGCCACCCTGAAGAGAGCGCCTGGGGGCGGAGGGAGGGAGAGAGGGAGGTAGGCACGGGGCTGAAGTCCTGCAGGGCGCAGACGCCTCACCCTGCACCGACAGATACTTCTTGTGGCAGTGCTTGTCGCGGCTGCGCCGGTCCTGCACCTCGCACACGTAGTCGCCCTCGTGCTCCGGGGCCACGTGGGGGATGCTCAGGGTGAGTGTGGTGTGGCGCGTGCCCGATGCCGCCTCTTCCAGGCTGGCAGCCAGTGGTGTTGCAAAGAGGTGCACATTCTTGCAGTCGAGCAGCAGGGGGTTGCCCTGCGCGTCATGCAACATGGACAGGTTGAGGCGGTACCAGCGCAGGTGCTCATAAGTGAAGTTGTCTGCTTGGCAGCTCAGGCGCACAGACTGGCCCTCCAGGGGCTCCTCGGAGGGCTCTGACTTTATGCTGAAGCCGTCAGGGATGGCTGTGGAGGGTGGAAGAATGCCTGGGAACACTTGGGACTCTTTTGGGGGAGCTTGCAGACTTCCCTTACCAGTCTTTGTGTTCAGTTCAATGTGTGCACTGTGTGGGGGATGGCCCTCCCCACGCTTGGGTGTTTGTCCTCTGAAATCAGCCCCATGGCTTCCGCTGCCACCCAGCATCTCTCAGGTGCCTGATGTTTGTGAGTGGCTTCCCACCAGAGTCAGAGGGGACCTAAGTGTCTGACTCTCTCCTTACTACCTCCCACACCCCAGTACCAGCCTCTCCTGGATACATTTGCCTCATCAGCTTTGCCCTGCCATTTCTCATGCCCCTTGGTAGCCCTGGCTGCTTCCTCCCAAGATTCCTATGCTTCCCTTTCCTTTTACTCTGTCTCTGTCCCTCATATACCCTCCTGGGTCAGCTCTGGACCTCCTCCATGGAGCAAAAGCATGCTTGTGGGCTGCAGGACTCTGGGGCTTGGGCTGCGGGGTAGGGGGTAGGAGGGAGGCAGGGCCAGGTGGGGCTTCAGTGAACCAGAGGGCATCCTTGGATCATGCCCTGCAGGGCCGGCAGAGGATGTCATTCCATCCTATCTGGATATTGCGATCCCAATTCCCACAAAAAACAGTGGGCCAGCAGGTCTTGTCTATCTCTCTTGATTTGTCCTACAGTCACCAGAAACTAATGGGTATGCACTTTGTTTCTGAACTTGTCCCCAGGCCTGCCCAAGGGCTCTTGGGGTCACTTACTGGTCACATAGAAGTAGATGAGCCGCTCGTCCCGGCCCACTTTGTTGGAGACCACACATTTGTACATGGCAGACACATTAGCATTTTGGATCACCAGCTTGCTCACCGTCTGGGCAGAAAACAGGCATGTGGGTCATTTCTTGGGGGTCCCCCTACTGACAGGGCTGTGTGCCCACACAGGTTATGGGAAAGTGGAGGCAGTGGGCCAGACATGACTGAAGCTCTGAGCCAGGACTGGGAAGGCAAGGCCCTTAAGCAGCAGAGAGCTGGCTGCTTGGGACAACAGTTGGACAGATGTAAAGGGGCAACAGATGGACAGCTAACTCAGGCTGTTGGTGAGGTTGCAGGGCAGCCTGATGAGGACCAGAGAGGCCTGTAGTGCTGAGGAGGGGTCAGGCTCCTGCTTGAGAGTTAAACTTCAGGGTACATCGAGGGTCCAGCCACTCCTATAATGGGGTCAGGCTGTGGTCCAGGGGTAGCAGCTGGTGAGTGCTTGCAATCTATGTGCTTGCTATGCTCCTGGGGAGTTGCTAGGTGAGGGGATATTACCTAGGCATTCCAGAAGGACTCTGACTTCAGGGAGTGAGAAGGATGAAAAGCAGGGGAGGATAGAAGGCTCTGCTTACCATCCTGAGACCCCCCACCCCCACCCCAAGCTGGGCACTTCCTGGCCAGGCTTGGAACAGGAAGAGGCTCTGGAGGTGTGTAGGAAAACAGGAAGTGACTGTAGGAAGTGGGTGCCTTTGTTCAGTCCCCTTCCCCCGCCTGGCCTCTTGTCAGCATTGCCCCTCAGGCTGGTCCAGTGGCTCAGTATCCCTTTTGTGGAGACCTGGCCAGTCCCCAACCTTGTCACTTTGCTAGCCCTGGAGGCTATGGCCTGGCTAGGCATCACTGGAGCTCAGCTTTTTTGAATGGGCAGCAGCAGAGGCCAGGCCCAGGTAAGAAGAGAGGGTGTCTGTCAACTTCCTGCTTCTTGCAGTCCACGTAGAAACCAGTGAAGCAGGGAAGCTGCCTCTCCACTGCCCCCTTTCCCTTCCCCAGCCTCTTGTGGTATGGGGGACCGTACCTTGTTCTTCCCTTCCACAAATTCTGACCAGGTGTCCAGGCTTTCAATGGGGTTTCTGGCATCCTGCATGGTCACCTCCTTCCAGTCTTGGCACTGTGGCATGTGGTCTCGCTGCCGCCGGCGCCGCCGGCTGCTGTGGACCAAGAGGGCCAGGGTAGGTCAGGGCTGCGGCAGGGCCAAGCCTTGGTCATCCATAGAGACATCTCCCAACCTGGTGGGACAGGTTGGCTCTCAGGCCAGGGTGAAGGAGGTGGGTGGGACACAGGATACTTCTCAGGCCCTAAGAGCTCCATCCCTCACAGGCTGCCAGCTCAGCCCAGGTTCATGTGTGTGCCCTGTGTCCACCCTGAACTTGCCCAGCAAGCTTGCCGCAAGCCACCCTTTCTCCTTGCTCTTCTTGTTTTCTTGGAACTGCAAGCTCCTTTGCAGGCTGTGGTGCATCCCTTGCATACCTGGGCTCTCACAGGACATCTGTGGGCATCTCAGCATCCCAAGGGAGGTTCTGTCTGCCACCAGGATGGAAGCAGGCTAGACCTCCCTGCATGGCACAGACCATGGTAGTGGAGCAACCAAAGCAAGTATGTTTCAAGAGACCCGGGCTGAGTGGAGGGTCCCTTGGGAACTGTGGACATTTCAGGCCCACAGTCATCCCTACTGAGCCTGCTTCCTGGTCAACACTGGAGTGCCAGTCCCCATCTCCTGCCTGGCCTTCCAGCTTTTGTGCCTCTCTAGCCTGCGACTCAGGGTTGTCAGGCTAAATGGCATACCTGCTGGTGTGCTCCTGTTCAGTGCTGACTCCCTTGCCCACCCCTGGGTGTCGGAGTCATCTACCTTGTGCACATCCAGCTCAGTGTGGGGGCATGTCCCAGCCCTGGAGTAGGCTTTGTTGCTCACGGTGGTGACCTTAGCAAACTTGCCTGCCTTTTCTTCTGTATGGGGTGACTGGTGTGCTCAGGACACATTGTGACACTATCTGGCTTTGCCAGCCACGGCAGGGCACTGCCCTTGGTGTATGAGGGCACTACTCTTAGTGTGTGAAGGCACACCCTTGGGCCTCTTTTGACAGTGCAGTTGTGTGTCTGAGGGCTTACTCTTGAGAGCCAGGGCTCTTGGACTGATAAAGGGAGGGTCTGAGCCTGGCTCTAGGGATGAGAGGCCGTGGCTACAGCAGATTGAATGAATTAGCTTTGTTGAAATGTCCATATTACCCGAAACAATCTGCAGACTCAGTGAAATCCCAATGACACCTTTCACAGAAGCATAAAAAACAGTCTTACAAAAGACCCCAAACAGGAGAAAGAACAAGACACGGGGTGCCACGGCAGCTGACTGTCAAAGCACACCACAGAGCTGATGAAACCACAGCAGCCGGGTACATACACAGTCATGGGAACCCTAGGATGAATCCTCACCTCAGCCACAGGGGCAAAACAGAGAGCTGAGAGAGAAACCCACACATCTGCAGTCAACAGATCTGCACTAAAGTCACCGAGAATACAGTTCCTTTTGTACCTGAGCCATGGAAAACTGGAAATCCACACAGCAAAGAATGAACTAGATCTGATTTCACCAGCGTCAAAAATCCACTCAAAAGGATGAAAAGATGTGAATGTGAGACCAAAACTAGAACCCACTGGAAGGCAACAGAGGAATGCTTCGTGACATGGCCTGGGTGAAGATTTTATGGATCAAAGCTCAAAAGAAATTATAGGGCTCAAGTTCACAGCAGAGTTCCCTGTAAAGGGAACAGATAAGGCGTGGGTGATGGGTAAATGAGGCTGGGAACTGGCCTGGCCATGAGTAAGGGGATAGGACAGGGAAGCAGAGGATAGGATAGAGAAGCCATACTTACAGGCTGTGCTGGGTAAATGTCTTGCAGGGTGTCCACGGTCGCCATAGCCACTGGACACTGAGAGGTTGTGGCACCCCGTAGGCTGTGCATGTGAGGGCCTGACGGCTATGGTGGGAGTAGATGCTGGGTGAGGAGGCCTCCTTCTCATGGATGTGGGGGGGCACTGTGGGGCACAGGCAGGCAGCTGGTCAAGTTGGCCTCCCCCACAACACCCACATCTGGCGCCCTGCCCCACGTACCGTTCACCACCAGTTCCAGGCTGATGTTGCATCTTAGGCCAGCTGCAGAGTTCCATAGGGCGAGTGTGTAGATGCCCGCACTGGCTTCAGTCACGTCTTTGAGTACCAGAGCATGTGGACTGTGCCGCCCAGGCACTGCCTTCCTGTCTTTGTACCTGGCCCAGGAGGGGGTTCAGGTAACAGTGTGGACTTTGGCCCAGCTCCAGCCAGCAGTCCCATTCCCTTCCACTGCAGTATTTCACCTTGAGATCCACAGGACCCCTCTGGACACCAAACTCAGCAGCCAAACAGGTCTCTTGTGTAAATGGCGTAGGAGCTGCATGGAACCCATGAAGTTCTCCTGCCTGTGTGTTTTATGTCAGGAGATGACTTGCTGACACAGTGTATATGCTATGTAAAGGCAAGCCGTGTTGTGTAGGGAATAATGAGAAAAACCTGTGTGTTTTTCTGGTGTGTTTTGTCTGGTACAGACAAAAGTACTGACTATCCCTAGGGGTTGAATCCACAGATGTGGAACCCATGGCAGGCCCATGTTTAGTGATAGCAGGAAGGGAATGAGAACCAATTTGCATATCCCAGTGGGCCAGGTTGCAGCCGAGGGCTGTTCCTGGGGCAGGCCAGGAGGGCTTGATAGGAGTGTAGGTGAGGTGGTGGATGCTGACGGGCCCTGCCTGAACTGCCTGTGCTCACAAGCATATAAGCATGAGGCTGAGTGTCTGGGAGGTCCAGTTTCAGCCCTGCAGCCTCCAAACCCTTTCCACACATAGCCTGTGTAGGGCAGCTGCTTTCCTCCTGCCCCACCTGTGGTTGTGGCCGCCTTCTGCTCCTGCCCCTCTTAGTCTGCTACACCCGATCTGCACACCAATGGCAGTGCCCTTAGCCTTTTCCAAAGTTAGGTCTTGCGCAAGGCAGCCCGGTTCCTTCCCTGTCTGCCTGGCTGTCTGTACTTGAACCCTCAGGTCCTGGTGCTTTGCTGGGACGTTCATCCCCATTTGGGGTGACTGCACAGTTCCCTCCCCTTTCCTGGGGTTGGGAATGTTCCTTTCATCAGAGAAGTCTCCCTGGCTATTTCCATATAATAGCTTTGCTATCAGTGCCATGGTTCCTGGGTGTAGCTGTTGGCTTGTCCTCTGCCTCCTGTCATACCCACTGAGCCATAAGCCCTGGAGGCAGCACATGGAGATGCTTTACAGCCTGATGCCCGCTGTGTGTGTGTGTATGTGTGTATGTGTGTGTGTGTGTGCATTTGAGGCTTCACATCTTGATGGGAGCTTCCTCCCAATCCTGAGCCACATGTTCTATAACCCGAAAGCTGGAGACGACCCTGCTGGGGCAGGGGCTTCTGGCTCTGAGAGCAAGGCACACTGCTCCGCCAGCGAAGGTCAGCAGTGAGAAACCCTACTCACTTCTGTGATGCTATAACTGGGACTCAGGGATGTGATGGGCCTGGAGTCACACAGCTAGTAGGCCAGGCAGGGGGAGAGCTGAGACTGTGCTGGTGCACAGGGCTGTAGCCCCTATTCTGTCACCTGTCAGTTCTGCAATCGCAAGCACAGCTCTGACTATCATGAGCTTCAGTTTCCTCATCTGCAAATGTGAAGAATGAAATGCACCTTGCAGAGGGAGTGGCACCCAGTGGGGCATGCCATGGACTCTAGTGGGGCTGAGGAGTAGCCTGCCTGCCTGATCCTGAGAGCTTCACTCTGTGCACCAGGGCAATTCTTAGTGGCACAAAGGTACACCGGGCATCTCCAGAGGATCCTATGTCCATGGCCTCAGAGGGTTCTCCCCAGGCCTAGGACAATCAGGGCCCCTCTTAGAAGCTTGCCTCCCACCTATGATCAGAGCAGGGGAGACTGACTCAGGATGTCTGGGCCTCTACTTGCCTATACCAGAAAAATTTCCCTGCCAGGAGGCAGTGCCCCAATCTGGAAGGGGTGAGGCTCTTCTGGCTAGAAGGGAGAAGACAGCACAGGATGGGGCTCCAGGCTCATGTTGGAAGGTGACTCCCTGGCCTGCACTACAGGGGACCTATAAGCTCAGCTGCCTGAGAATGCCGGTATGGTACTCTGTGGGGAGCACCTGCTGATGTCAAAGTTGCCACTCAGGAACTCCTCACTGACCCTGGCACACTCTGCAGGGGCAATGCCACTCTCTCAGATCAGAGATCTGGCAGCCCATATGTTCTGTTGTTGACTGGACAGGAGGGTCCAGGTGGCCCTCAAAGACGAATGGGAGACTGAGCTACCCATGTCACAGGCTGCTGCTTATGTTTCAGTTGCCTAGGGCCCCACCTTGGGAGTCTCGCCACACAGTCCCTAGCAGGATTCAGCATTGGGCCTGGTAAGGGCCTGCCCTCATCCCTATCCATATTGGGCTGGGCCTGCCCCGTTGGTGAGGGGAGGGTACCAGGGTGCTTACCACTGGAACTCGGGTGGGGGGTAGGCTGCCAGCTTCACGGGTAGCTTCACTAGCTCATCCCCCACTGTTGCCTCTAGGACCGGTCCTTTGAGCCATTCCACGCTGATGAAGGGCTTTTCTGCCAGATAGGAGGCATCGAGGTCAGTCTTGGGCTAATCACTGCTGCATGTGGAGGCCCCACAGCCAGACACAGCCACACTGCTGCTTGCTGGGCTGTCTAGCATTTGGGATCTGGGCAGGGATTCTGCTTACTGCCCTCCCTTCCCCCCTGCCATGACCTTTGACCCCAGACTCTGCTGGACAAGGACCCTGGTTCCTGGGATGTCTATGGCTAGGCCACGGTGAAGGTGGGTGAAAGGGCACAGTGAGGCTGAACCCAGGCCTTACCATGCACGATGACCTCAGTGCTGTCCCGGAAGCGTTGCATGCCGTTGTTGGCCTCGCACATGTATGGGCCTAGGTCACGTAGGCTGACGTTGTGGATGGTCAGGATGCTGGACAGCTCTGTGTGAGTCTGCTGGGAACGCCGCTCGGGGACCCACTTACCCCGCTCTGCCTGCCCGCCCCAGGGGAAGCCTGGGGTCAGTAGGTGGGCCTCAGCAGGGCTAACCCACGGAGGGCATGTGCCCAGTCCCGCCAGCGGGGGTTGCAAAAACCTCAGACCCAGACCCAGAATCTTCCTTGGGGTTGACAAATGTCCCCATTGGTCTGGGGCTCCTGGGGCTGGCCTGCTTCTTTCACACAGTGGCCCAGAGTGTAGCAGGCCGCCGAGCTCACCTGCTTGCCTGGGTATTCCCAATCAAAGGTGACGCCCGAGTTGAACTCGGCCCACACGGTACAGTTCAGGACCAGCTTCTCCCCAACCAGCAGCTCCAGGGACTTCTTAGGGAACAGCTGAATGTCATAGAGCTCATTGCCTGGAGACACAGGTATAGTGACCCCCAGGACCCTCATGTGGTGATGCCCCCCAGAGCACCAGCTGGGACAGTGGGTGAGGTCTACCTGTGATGTGCACCAGGAAGGGGTTGGACAGAAAGTCCTGGCCACCCCAGGTAGTCTCACACTGCAGGTAAAGGGCATCTCGCAGCAGTGCTGTTGGTACTCGCATGCCTTGGCGGTCATCCCACACCACCTCCTGCCCGTCGGGCCGCAGCACTGAGCTTTGCTGCAGGGACATGGCAACTCTCAGTACCTGGCCACTCTCCCACTCCCAGAGTTGGGGCAGGAGGACCAGATCCCCAGGTGGGGGCAGTACCGAGCGCAGAGTGACATTGAGGCCAGGCACTGACACCAGGCAGGGCACCCACATGGAGTCCTTCCTGTTGACCAGGAGCGTGTCAGGTTTGTTGATGAATGGCTGCTCAAAGTCTGAGGAAAGAATGTGGTGATGTGGGGGAAAGCAGGGGCTCAGGGGACCTCCGGCTGGGTTTGGGCAGTGGGATAGCCCCTTGGGACTTGCTGCTGCTGCCCTGAGGACCTGCCACCCTCTGGAGTGAGGCTGCCTTCCCTCTTGGCAGTTCCAGAGTCAGCGGGCTGGCAGGAGAGGACGCAGAAGCCTGTCAACCTCACCTCTCACGAACACGTAGGCACTGGCGGCTGTGGTGCCCTCGATGCGAGCCTTGATGTATTTGTAGTAACAGCGGTAGCTGCCTGTGTCATTGCCATGGGCCTCACGCAGCAGCAGTGCCTTACAGTAGGGCCTGGTGTCGGTGCCCTCACAATCTCGTAAGATGCCTGTGTCTTCACTGTCCTTCTCCTCTGTGGTGAGTGCTCCCGGAGCCCCTGGCCAGGCCCACTCGAGGGGGTGCTGCCCTCTGGCAGAGAACCAGGGAGGTCAGAAAAGAACAGTTCCCAAGGAGCCTCCCTCCAAGGGCAAGCCTTGATGAATATTGTATATCCCTGCAAATTAGATGACCACACCCCTAAGGCAGGAAACTCTCGGATTCCCTGGGGCTGCATAGAGCAGCCTGGATCACAACCAGGGCTTCAAGGAATCAGAAAGAGCACCTGTAGGTGTGGGGGAGGCAGGGAGAGACTGGATGCATGCAGGGCTTGCAGGCCACAGGATCAGGTACCTCCTGCCTTGGGGGAGAAGCCTACATACCTGCAGGAGATGGACAGACTGTCACCTGTGTCAATGACGTGCACCTCATCTGTCATGTTCAAAGTTGGGGGCATCATGGAATAGCCACTGGCCAGGCCTGAGGTGGGAGACCAGGTTAGTGTGACATGGCATCTGGGGCTCACACGGAAGTGTCAGTTAGGTGCTCTCAGGCTTTCTTAGGCCACAGGAGCAGTTATCAACCAGGTCAGGAGCAGCATGGTTTTGCCATGCGCACCCTGGGCAGAGCCTGTCTTGGCAGCAGATAGCCATGCTCCAGGTAAGCCATGGCCAAAGCCTGGACTGGCCCAGATACCTGGCTCCATGCAGGCGGTGGTGCCAGCAAGAAGGAGAGCCCCAGACTCACTCTACACAGACACCATGGCTCCATGCAGGCACCGTGACTGCTTTCTTGAACTCCAAGCCTATACAGCCTACCTGTGAGTGGCTCTTGCATACCCAATCAGCCAGGTATGGGCTTCCCGGTCTGCTCCCTGCCTGTGGCCTCACCCTTGTCCCAGCCCCAGGGTGTTCACCTCATGGTCATCCTTTAGAGTCCATTCAGTTTCTCTCCACCTTCACTGCCCCGACTGTGTATCCCCGCCTTTTCTCTGGGCTTCTCCCTGACACCTTATGTCCTCCCAGGTTCCCTCCTCATACACACAGAAGGGCTGGCCTCAACTGCAACCCATCCTTGGGAGGTACAGGCTGTCTGGGGCTCTGCCTTCTGTCCATGGGTGTGCATGAGGACAGGTGTGCATCTGTGCCGGTCTCCTTGGTCTGGGTGTGAGTCACTGTGTATTTGGGAGCATCTCTGTGTCTATGAGCCGTGTGTGTGGCTTTACATGTGAACAGGTATGCATGCGTGTGTGTTACCAGCCGGGCTGTGTGCATGCAAATGTACATGTGTGTGGAGAGTGGGGCCAGACCCCGCAGGAGGGCTGGGCTTGGTGCTCGGGCAGATGCATCCTGTCAAGCCAACCTGAGACAACAGGAAGGGAGGACTCTGTGGCCAGAGGCCCAGATCTGTGTCCTGCCCCTCCCTTGAAGTCCCTGTCCTGAAGGGGTAAGGGGAGGGAAGAGAGAATCTAGTCTCTTGCCTGCAGTGTTTTCTAGTGCCACAGGCCCCTTGGGGTTCAGGATCCCTGATTCCTGCTACAGAGAATGGAGGGTGAAATGAGAAGACACATTCACCCTGATTCCAGTTACTGTCCAGGCAGCTGGCACCTGGCCCAGCCTTCACTGTCCACAGACACCTCATATTGGCATGACCTAGGACACACACAGCCACTAGGCAGTACCTCCCTCCTTCTTAGCCAAACCCTTCTATGCCCCACTGAAAGGTGGGTCAGGGTTGGGAGACCATCCCCAAGCCCTCACTCCACTGTGTAGACTGGAAACTATGCTATCAGTCCCAGAAGTTGGCTCATCATCTGGTGGCTGTGGACACTGCCACAGTCCTCCCTGTGCTTCAGTGATGGATGCTCCTGTCTGAACCTAGGCCAGGGCTGCTCCCAGGGCTGCTCCCAGGGCTACCTTGTCTTGGGGTATCATAGTGGGAGGGGACCGTTGGCATTGCAGCCTCCCTGGACACATGTACACCTGACCTCCCTGGACACATGTATAGCTCCTAGCACAACTGCTCTGGGACCCTTGAGAAGAAAAAAGTGCCAGCCATGATGAGAAGCTGAGCCAGAGGCCAAGGAAGCTGGCACAAAGAATGTTCCCCTCTTGGCACTGAGTGGTGAACAGGAGTTCCCATTGGGACACCCTGGAGTGAGAAGGCCTTCTTCCAGGCAGTGGAACCTGAATACCACCACACCAGGCAGCCAGGAGGGGGCTGCATGGGGCAGGAGTGGACAGACGCTTGCTCTCTGAGTTACTTAGAAGAAAGACAGTGGCATGTGTCTGGGCAGTGTACTCTTGACAAATCCAGGTAAGAGTCAGAAGCACGAAGGGTGAGCACCTGAGAGGAAAGTTGTTAGGGGGCCATGCATGTGTATGGGGAGCCAGTAGCTCCCCTTCTTTGCACAGCAGGTTTCTGGGCACCCCTGGCAAGTGTCAGCCAGGGGGCTGGGCCATTGTTGACCAGCTTCCTTAGGTAGCCTCTCCGTCCATCCAGCTGCACTCAGAGCAGCATGGACTCCTGAGTGCCAGCCTTGTGCTCTCTTGCCCTGAGGGCTTTGCCCCCTGGGAGTTCTTCACCTTCCCTTGAGGATTCTGCAGCAGATACCCCTGCCTTGTGGGAAGTTGATGTTACTCTGTTGGCTCCTATCTCCTCTGCATCCTTGTTGTTCTACAGTTATATAGAACACACATACTGAACTGTGGTGGTCAAACAGGGGCTCATCTTTGTAACCCCATGTGCAAAAGGCGATCAACATGGTCCCATAAATGGCAGTGTAGCTGATGGATCAGTAGATGGGCAAATGGATAAGTGCAAGTGGAGATGAATGGAAGAGTGGGTAGGCAAATAGGTGGGTGGGTAGAGGGGCAAAAGGATGGATGAGTGATGGGAGTGCATGGATAGAGGAAGGAGCCTCACACCCACCTGTTAAACCTGACTGTTTAATAGGACCACTACAAAGCCTGCCAGCCCTTTCCCCGACCCTTGTAAGTTTTCCTTTGCCCTGACTTAAATCAGTTTGTCCTCTGCCTTTGCCAGCCCTCCACAGGGCCCTGTGTGATCAGTGGACTCTGTTATAGAACCTGAGTATCCCTCTCATCTTCTCTGAAGCCCTTGGCTCAGGTCCTGTGCTCAGCCACCACAGCTCAGGGGGAAACTGTCCTTCCCTTCCCAGGCAGCCCTTTCATGCTTACTGGGGACAGCAACCCCCCTCGCTCCATGCACTTGTCGTCAGCAGCAGTGCTCGTCACTTCCCCTCATTCATTGTTGACTCCCAGTCCAGCTCAAACTGTTCTCTGTGATGTCATCAGCCATGCAATGAGTCACCAGCATACTTGGCTCTATAACTCTCCTCACCCTTACCCCACCATGCACTATCACAGGCATCCCTGGGTGCCACCGTCCTGAGTTCTCCTTCCTGCTGCCTCAGTCTCATCGGGAGCCCCTTTCCTCAAACCCACCACATCCTTCTTGAATTCTACTTTCAATAACTCTTCCTTTGACAGCCCCATCTCCCATGGGATGTACCATGGGTAGCTACTTCTCCTTCTGCTGTCTATTCATTTACCATCACATCTATCAAGGCAGAGGTATTACAGGGCCAGTTGCTTCTCTCCTATTGGGACTTGCACAGCTGTACCCACCCACATGGCAGCCAGAGCCCCTGTTGCCCTCCTCCATATAGTTGTCTGTAGTATTTTAAAAACACAAAGAGGACATAAGAGGCTTATTGAATCCCACTGCAGAGTGAGGCTTGGGCCTGGTCAGTTACACCCCACATTCATGTCCTGCAGCCACCCACCATAGCCTGGACACTGTTCCACCCCAGGGCCTCTGCACACGGCTCACCCCCTGGCTTCCTTCCCTTTCCCTGTCTGTGGCTGCTTTTCCCCTCAGGCCTTGGCTTAGATGTCACCTCCTTACACCCTTCCAACACCAGTTTCCTTCAGTCTGCAGTTCAGCCCCTGGGTGCTCACTTGCCCTTCTGACCATGGCTTGTGTGCTCCCATTGACTTCTCTGTGTGCCACCTTGCTGTCCCCAGGGCAAGGACAGTAAGTACTGGCACAGGTACTTACAGACTCAGTAAGTACTGAATGAATGCCTGCATAGGCAGAGATTGGAAGCACAGATAGGAGGCTGGGCAGAAAAGGATGAGCCTGGGAGGGGTGCTCCCTGGTGCTCCCGGCTTCGCTCCTGGCTTGGGATGGCCCAGCCCCCACCTGCAGCCCTGGAGCAGGCGCATCCTTCCTGCCTGGCTGTTGTCTGTCTCCTCTGTCCTTCCCTTCCCGCAGCAGGAAGCGCTGTCATCCTGGCCTCTGCCACACTCCGCATGCCTTCCTGTTCCTGGCCCGGGAACTGGCTTCTTCCTTCCCCCCAGGGCCTGCGGCAGAGGGGCCCAGGCGGGCGCTGGCTGGGGTCAGCGGGCCAGAACGCACGCCTCCTCTCTCTGTGCTGTCAGCAGCCCTGGGACACCCTCTGGCCTGGGGCCATGGGGACCTGAGTGTCAGCCACAGGAACAGTGGACAATGGAAGTGGTGCATGGGGGTCCTGCAGCCTCCCCAAGGCAGTGCCTACACCCCTTGATGATGGACAGGGAGAGTGGGGGTAGTCTGTCTGGCTGGGTGCTGGTTGTGAGCCAGGCACCATGTCCACTGATTCCCCCATAGCTTGGGAGCCAGGAGGGAGGGCTCACAGCACTGTCCATATGTGAGGAGACTGAGGCAACAAGCCTGGCAGTAGCAGCCGGCTGTGGCTGGGCAGTGTCCAGGCCAGCCCTGCTGGGGATTCCCCAGGACAGAGGGGCTCAGAGAACAGAACCAGGGCCCCATGGTGCCTCTCAGGCCCTTCCTCATAGGAAAGTCCTTGCAGAAGAGTGCAAGGCCACCTGGTCTCCCTGCAGTCACTGCCATGTCCACTCGGGGGCCTGTCCTGAGTTTTCTGCCTGCCCTGGTCACTACTGACAAAGCTCTTTAACTCTCAAAGCCAGTTCCATGCTGTATCATTCCCGGGGAACTGAGGCCTAGGCAGAACTGCTACCAGACAATGAGGCTGTTTAATCTCATGGATGTCCAGGGTGGCCCTGGGGAATTGCCATTCCTTCTGCCCCACCCTGTGCAGAATTCTCTTCTGTGTCCACTAGGACGGGATCTAGGGGTCAGGGGACAGATCCTGGTTCCCTGTGCTGCTGCTGCTCCTAGGAGCTGCCTGCAGAGCAGCTGATGAGGCATGCTGCTGGTGTGTGGGGAGGGATAGCAGAGCCCTCCTTGCCTTCAATACAGCCTCTCCCCTCCATGGTCCTGAGCAGTCTCCTGTAGGGTCTTCACCCATCCCCCAGCCCAGAGGGACATCATGGCCCAAGGATGCTCTCCTTGGCTTCTCACAACATCTACAGCCACAGACACCTTCAACATGGCCTCCAAAGCATATCTTGGAATTCCCTACTGTCCCGGGCTGGCTCTCACTATCAGTCCTGTCGCATCTCCCTGCTTGGGCTTGCTTTGTGCCATCTGTCCTCTTGTGCTGCTCCCACTCCTGCCTAAAGCCTGTGCCAACAGCCTCAAGCTCTCCCAGCCATGACATACAGCATGGCTGGGGTTGGAGGTTTCACTAGGTGGTGCCTAGGCTATGCTGCCCCTGGTCCTACACATAGATGACACCAAGATCCTCAGTGAGTTTGGGATGGCTCTACTCTGGCTGAGTGTAACCATATGTTTTCCCTCCCCTGTGTACCCTGGAAGATGGGGCTGTGAGGCAGTCCTTCCAGTCTTGCCACTGTCCTGGGAAACTGCTCAGAAAGACCAAGGCAGTTAGGGGTCAGACCCACAGCTGCAGATGGCAGGCAGGCAGCAGGCAGGCACTGGGGGGACAAGGGACAGCTGGGCAGGCACAGTTGGGCTTGAGGTCCCTGTGCACTAGTCCTAAGGCAATAGTGAGGAGATCTGTGCCAGTCTCTCTCTGTTTGTCAGGCATGTGCAGAGTCTTGGCAGGGTGCAAGAAGGGTTTGCCCTGAAGTCCCCCCATATTGGCGGGCAGTGTCGGTGCCACCCAAGCTGGAGTGTGAAGGCCAGGACGTCACCAGGTTCCCACCTCACCCTGCAGGACTGGAATGGCTGTGGTGGGAGTGGCAATGGCCGGAGTATACTCAGAGCCAGGGTCCCGGCTTGGTGGCCTCAGGCAAGCTGCTTTTGCCCTCTACATTGGTTTCCCCATGGGGATTTGCTGGTTGTTCTCAGGCTTGCTGGGATCCATCCAAGTAGAATGTTGTCAGCTAATGCACCTGCTGAGGTCACCTGCTGAGTGCCTGTGATCCTGTGTTGAGGTTGCAGTGTGGAGGGGTGGTGGTGAGGGAAGCCTTGCTGGGGGCAGGGGGCATTCATGTGAGCAGATCTTGGCATCAGTGGAGGGGTAGTTGAATATGCTAGACTCCTGATCAAGCTGGTGCAGCCCTTGGCAGCTACATTGCCTGGCCACGGAGTTCTTCTGCACACACAACTTGCCTTTCCCGTCCCCACCAGCTATGCAGCTTCAGTGTCCCTCCCTTGGGCTGACGTCTGGTGTACCCAGTCCACTGTAACCAATGTACTTTCTAGAGCACTGATCTCCATCCTGGTGTAATCACGCTGGCTTCCCAGCTGCTTGTGGTTGCAATCTGAGCACTGTGTGATCTCCCTGCCCCTCATGCATCCCAGGAGACTTCATCTTCTGTGTTGTATCACCTGTAAGGCTGCTGCATTCTGACATCACAGCTGTCCCCTTCCCAGAGCCCCTTGCAAGGCTCCTCTCCTCATGCCTCCTGCAGCTCCGAGGCTGCCTTATTATGCCAAAAGATCCTTAGCTCAAGGATGTTCAAGGATGAGGGTATCAATTCTATTTGGGCATTGCCAGCATTGTGCATGGGGGAGGGTGTACAGCCAGCAGCATCTCCTGCCTGGCCTTTCAGTGCCTCCGGCAGGGCGCCTGTGGAGCCAGGAAAATCCCTAGGGCTTAGGGCTGGAGGGTGCAGTCTGGGTCTCTGCTGGTCTTTTGGGGGCTGAGGAAGGCTTCCACCTGTGGTGCAGATAGCCCTTGGAAGCAGCCAGGGAACGTGGGAAGGCTGAGCAGAGGCTGACCTGTTGGGAGCTGGGGTTCCTGCACACCCTGTGCAGGTGACAATGGGGAGGGGCCCTAGCAGATGTGGAGCGCCCAGTATAGGGCCGCTGCCCTGGCCTCTCTGGGGTCAGGGCTCTGCTGGTGACCGGCAGGACGAGCTATGTTATCAGACAGCCCAGCTGGCTCAGAGGTGGCCCCCTGTGCTGCTAAATCGGGGCCACCAGCTCTTGCTGCAGGAAGAGGGAAATGCAGGCAGGATGTCCTCTTCTGTGGCTGACAAGTCCTTTCCCATGAACCCCTGCTGACCCTTTGGGCCACGTGGCGGGGCTCCCCCATCTGCCACCCAGACCTGTGCCTGCCCAAAGGGCCACCGGCAGGCTGGGTCTGAGGTTTGCCCTGCCCCCGCTCTTAGCCCAAGCTCCTTAAGCGACGCATATCAGCGTTTTCCTGCTCCCACACTTGTCCCTTCGGCATGACCGGAAAACTGAGATCCCAGAGGAAGCAAGTGTCTGAAAAGGATCGAAACTCTGGAATGCCTGGCTCCAGCCGGAACGTGTTGCCTGTGCCTTACTCAGAGGTGGAGCTGGGGAGTGTGAAGGTCCTCTGAAGCCCTTTGCCTACCCATCTCCTGAGCTCTCAGAGGGGTTGGGAGCGGAGGCCAGGCCCTTCTGGTGACGAAGATCTGTCTGAATGGCAGCAGGAGGAATGTAAGCCAGACACAGAGAATTCCCCCTTTACTTTCTGGACAACCTCATTTCACTCGCCTCATCTCTCCTGAGTGCTCCAACCATCCTCCTTTCTCATCTGGCTGGGTTACAGAACCTGGTGTCTTCAAGGGATCCTCCTGGATGCCTCTGCAGGATCCCCACCCGATACACAACCACCTTTTGCCCCCTGCCGGCACCCCACACTCTTTCCTACTGCCCTTGCCCTTCAGGGCCCTGTCACTCCCTCCTTTGTGTGAGCATGCTCAAGACCCCTCCACCAGCTCCATTCTCCCGCCTATGGAGCTTGGAGATGGCCACTGCCTTGCCTGGGATTCCCTTCCCGGGAGTTCTGAGAACCCTCCAGGAAGCCCGTGCCTGGAAGTGACACTGCCTTCCTGTGTAGTCCACAGTCACCTGCTGGGTCTCATGGAGGCCACTGAGCAGGCAACAGGGCTCATGACTTGCCTGGGTCAATGGACCACTGCTTTGGGGTCAGAGTGGGGTTGGCACACTGAGGAGTCTGCTGTCATTTACACTGCTGTCCACCCTGGGCCTGGGTCAGGGCTGGGAGCAAGGACCTGGCCTGTGTGCCTCAGGTTGCAGCAGCAGCAGCAGCCAGCATCCTCTGAACTGGCCACTGAGCAGGTGAACACAGCCCTCTTTTGAGAGGGGGCTCTATGGGACTTGTCTGCGGGATTTCTGAGAGGGCAAGACAGTGGGCCTAGTGGCCTGGCCTGAGAGCCTGTGCTGCAGCCCACGCATGTACTCTCTTGGTATCTGCCAGTCTGCCCCACTGTTGTGTGCAGCAAGCAGAAAGGTCTGAGGACCCTGGGAACAGAGCAGGGGCACAGCTCTGCTCCCATGATCGAGTCAGATTCAGGTTGCTAGGCTTTTTCTTTGCCTCCTGTTCTGGCAACCCTGATGCTTGATTGTACTTAGGAGTTCAGGCTGCAGCATCCCTGTAAGGCCCGAAGTTTCTAGGATTCCCCTTTGCCCGATTGAGGCTTCAGGGAGGTGCAGGCTCAGGGAAGAGTGATTTCTGGCAATTCCCTGCTGGCCTGAGACCCCTTTCCTGAGTCTCTCCAGCAAACACCCTCCCGGCCCCTCCATCCTTCACTGTGTGGAGTGGGGACAATGCCCTTGTCTCAGCAGGTTCCTCTTCCTCCTCCCCTCTATCCTCCCTTGGTTCTCCCTTTTCCTGGGGAAGAGCTCCCCGATGGCTCTCATCCCTGCCCCTCCTGGATCCTCAGCTGTGCTGTGCTCTCAAGTTCCGAGGTGAGGAGAGGCATCTCCCATTGTACACTCAGGTGGTCCCACAAGAGCCCCATTCACTCCTCACTCAACAAACACAGCCAGAGCTCGGTGAGCCTGGCTCTGCGGTGGGTGTCCAACTGCATGCAAGTGCCGCCTGGGCAGCCCCTGATCAGTCCTGCAGCAGCACAGCCCTGAGAGACCCTTCTCCCCCATCTTAGCGCGGCCCCTTCCCTGCTGCATCCTGGGAACCAGGAGAGGAAGCAGTAAACCAGCTGGACCCGCACACTGGGTGGCTTCTCCCAACCTCGCTCTACCACAGCCTCCGATGAGCCCTCTGCTCCGGACTTCTTAGGACCCCCATCTTGTGTGTGCACTCCGCTCCTGCCCTCACTTCCACGTTCCCCTGCAAGCCCTCAGCCTCAGCCGCTCTCTTCAGGGTCCCCTTCCCCAACATGCTAGTTTCAGCATAAACTCAAACCCAAACGCTGCTCAAAGGCGTCCACCTGTTCTCTCCAATCCGAGCAGCCCGTTTCTGCCTCTGCCGTGACACTGCTCGCCCACGAGAACCTGATCCAGAATTTGCTTAAAGTCTGCGCAGGCACCTGTGCCCTCACCCCCTCTGTTGCCTCACAGAAATCGCCAGCCCTCGAGCCGGCCCCAGGAAAAAGCTCCAGCGCGCAAGACTGGGCCAGGCCAGGTCGGTGGCCTTGGCCCTCTGGGACGATTCTCCGAGAGCCCGTGCCAGGCCGGGCCAGGGGAGGAGCAGAGAAGGAGCAGGAAAGCTGCACCCCACCAGGCCCTGCTACAAGAAGACGTTGGGTGGTGGACTAGCGGGTCACCCAGGGCACAGCCCTCCCGTCTCCCCGTGGCCGGCACGCAACCCCACCAGCTCCAGCCCCTTCGTCCACCCCGCGCGCCCCCCACCTCGCCCCCGGAACCCTTGCTCACCGTCGAGGAGTCCCAGGCAGAGCCAGAGGCGCAGGCCCAGCGCGGCGCCCCCAGGCATCTCCGGCCGCTGTGGCGGGGGTGCGACCTGCGAGGCCGCAGCTCCGGGCTGGGAGTGAGGGCGCTGGGGGGCGGGCCGGGCCGGGGCGGGGCTGGCAGGGAGGCGGGCCGGGGGCACCTCTGACCGCCCCCTGGCACCTCGCTCCGACCCTCCCAGCCGCCGCCGCCGCCGCAGGACGGCCCCGAGGGCGTGCGCTTCCCGGTCCACAGCTGCTAGTGGCCGGCGTGGCCGCTCCGGACCCTGGAGGTCGCAGGGGGTGCCAGACACTCGCCCTGTTGCAGACTGGCTCCCAGGGTAGACGCAAGACTGCAGCGAGCATTTCTCTGTGGGGTCTCTGCTTGTAGAGCGAGGACCGCAGCAGTGGGTCGTGTCTCCGATCACGGCCCGCAGACTTCCCCTTCCCACGTGGGAAGTGGCTGTGCGGGCTGCCCGCTGCGCCTCCCCGCCCTGGGAGGCCTGGCCCTCTCGGGTCCCCGTCCTCCAGATGTTCCTGCTGGTGCTTACCTCATCCAGTCGGTGGAGGGGACCCTGAGCCTCCCAGTCTCCATCTGGAAGTTTTCCTCTTGAAGAATAACCCCCACGGCCACGCACGTCTCACCGCCCTCCCAGCTTTCCCTCCTTTTGCTTGCATGTCCTCAGGGGACCCCAAAGCCTCTAGAACAACACGCGACTTTTGGTAACAGCCATTCCTGTTCTCAAGGACAGGGAAGGACTGAATGTGATGTTGATTCGGAAACGGCAATCAGTGACACAATTTTCGTGATTTCATAAGTAACTGGAGGAATGAAGAACCAAACAACGAATGGTTAGATTTTTCCTCAGTTGTATATTGATTTTGTGACGGCGTTTCAGTCTTTTAATGACACTTACTGCATTAAGTGACATGCAAAGTAGATAAGATAACAGTGTATTATGAACGGACTTTACAGCAAACATCAGGTCAGGACGTTAGAATGCCACCGGAATTCCAGAAGCTGCGTGCCCTTCGCCCTCCCCGACTGAAGATTCCCACTGTGCTCCTGGCATCATTTCCCTGCTTTCTTTATCATTGTTTCAGGCAGATACATGACTTTATTGTTTAAAAAAAACTTGTTTAAATAAACGCATTGCTTATATATCGTGGTGCCACAGTAGTTGGGTTTTTTTTTTTTTTTTTTGAAAGTTAAGTTTACAGAGAGAAGGAGAGATAGAGAAAAATGCTCTTTGGGGAGTTTGGTTCTTGTACACTGAAAGAGATTTTCGACTTGGTTAGGTTAAATATGCCATTTTGATTGTCTCCTATTTGTCCTATCTGTCCTTTGTTTCCTCTTTCTCTTTTTTTAGATTGAATATTTTTTATGATTTTTTTCTTACTAGCTACTGTTTCTTTTTAAATCTTTAATTTGCAAATGTCTTTAACTCCTAAAATCTCAGCTCCAAGTGATATACAATTTTGTGTGTAACACAGAAACTTTATAATACACCTGTGTTTCTTCTCTCCCAGGTTACTATATGTCTTATTCCTATCATATACTTCACAATGGAGTTGCAGCATTTTTGTTTACTCACTTATCTTTTACAGAAATTTAAGTGATAAGAAAATATCTTGTGTATTTACCAATTTTGGCATTATATTTTCATCAGGTATCATTTTGCCTTTTTCAAGCACTTTTTAAAAAGATTTATTTAGGGGGAATCAAGATGACAGAATAGGGTAAGGATACGTTTAAACACACAGAGAAACATTTAATCAGGATGAAGCAGAGAGGACACATTCCAGGAACAACAGCAGAGGGGTACTTGGAGACTGACAGACACAGGAAAGCAGCAGACACAATATTGTGGTGTTTCAGTGACCAATACCCCTAGGCATTTAGTGAACAGCGATCTGAACTTCACCAGCAGCTGGAATTACACCATCAACCAAGTGGGTGGGGACATTTATTGGGAGCTCCAGAGGTGAACCCAGACAAAGAGCTACTTGTCCTGCTGGCTTCTTTGATTTGATCAGGAGCAGAGACAGAGCAACAGGTCCCAGACAGGCAGTGCAAGAACAGGGTAGATTTCACAGCCCAGTTTGCCTCCTAGAGCCAAATTAGTTGCCATTTTGTTTAAGGAGGCAAGGGCTATGGGGCAGGATTGTGCATGCACTATGCTGGGAGTGAACTAATTTCTGGCTCAGCAAACTTCAATAATGTGGCATCCTACAGGTTCCACCCAAGACAGGTCCAGGTAACCCTCAGACCTGATGGCCAGCAGATCAAAAACTATAGTAGTGGTACGTTGTGGGCCATTTTGTACACTGTGGCAAAGCTTTAGGACTTCAGGGGACAACAGTGAACTGCATATGTGCTGAGCTCGAGAGAGCTCAACCAGCTGAGTGCATTGCACTGGTCCTGCAGGAAAATAATAACAAATTTGCACCGTATGGGTCAAAATAGCTCTGTGTGGCCCTCAGACCTAATGGCCAACAGCTTCTGACAAGATCAGCACCAACAACCTAGCTATATAGGACACCAGGTGTCTCCCTAATCCTGGGACCTGCTCCAACCAGAAGTGGGAGAAAGATTGTACAGACAACAGTGCAGCCTCAGCGCAGTACAACAGGAGGTGGAGAGTGGTGAGCCAGGAGCTGGAGCTACAGAGACAATGATGGAAGTCTAACATAAGAACCCAGTCTTAACACTTGCTGGAGGGAGTGGCACAAGTGACTGCAAGCAAAGAGCTGTGTACCAACTGCAATAAGTGAAATTGAACTGTAGATTTGTGGGTGACACAGCTTAGAAACCCGCCCCAAGGAGAAGAATCTGATAACCAGAAGTACAATGACTAAAGGCAAAAAGAAGAAACAGAGGCACAATGAATATTACTGAAGACTGCTCTGCAAAGAAGCAAAACCCTGTGCCAACCTCAGAGTTCACTGAGGAATACATTGAGAAAATGGGGGATATAGAGTTCAAAACACTTGTTACAAAACTTCTTATTAACAATGAGAAGCACGTAAAGCAGGAGTTCAAGAAATTTAAGGAACAGGACACATAGGAAATGAATCAAATGAAAGCTGATATATCAGAAATGAAGAATACAGTAGAGCAAATTGGAAGTACAATGGAGAGTCTCCAAAATAGAATCAAGGAGGCAGAAGAAAGAATCTCAGAATTAGAAGATATTTCCTGTCATCAGGGGGGAAGCAAACAAAAAGCTGGAAGCAGAGCTGGATCAGGCCAAAAAAAGTGTTCAAGAATTGAAAGACACTATTAAGAGGCCAAATATAAAAGTTATGGGAGTCCCAGGAGGTGCAGAAAGAGAAGCTGGGTTTACAAATGTATTTAGTGAAATAATAAGGGAAATTTTTCCTAATATGGAGAAAGAATTGGGAAACAACATCCAGGAGGGGCACAGAACTCCCAACAGGCTTGATCAAAAATGATCTTCACCACAACACATGATCATCAAGCTTTGTTCAATTGAACAAAGGAAAAAAGATCCTTAAGTGTGCACATAAAAAAAAAGAATCAACTGACATGTAAAAGAATGCCAATTAAACTCACAGGAGACCTCTCACAGGAAACTCTACAGGCCAGAAGAGAATGGAGTGACATATTCCAGATTCTAAAAGCAAAAAAAATTGTTGGCCCAGGATAACATACCCAGCAAAATTTTTCCTTTGTGTTTGAAAATAAGATTCCTTCACAGTAAAGAAAAGTTAAAAGAATATGCCTCTTCCAAAACTGCGCTACAAATGATACTTGAAGATGTTCTCTTGACAGAAAAGAGGAATAGTGTCCACCAAAACAAAAGGTAAATGCAAATAAATCTCAGTGAAGTAACAGCAGAAGACTAAATCAATAAACAATCTATTACTAAAATGTCAAGACCAAATTACCACCCATTCATATTAACCCTGAATGTAAATGGCTTAAAGTCATAAATCAAATGTCACAGATTAAAATCTATCTATCAAAACAAAATCTATCAAACAAAACCCATTTATTTGTTGCCTATGGTAGACACATTTCACCAACAAGCAGCGGAAGCTGTATCTCATGGATTTTGATGTTTTTGTTAGTTTCATCTCTTCAAAACATTTTCTTCTGATTCAGTTCTTCAATGACTCATATATCATGCAGAAGCATCATTTCCTTCAAGAAGGTTTTTTGATTTTTCTTTTTCATTTCTTCAGCTACACTTTAGTATTTAGTTATTAGTTATTTAGTTATTAGTTATTAGTATTTTGTTATTTAACTTCATGGTGTTGTTAATTTCTTTTTTCTTCCTGTAGTTTATTTTGCTTTGTTGCTTTCCTTTAAGGGGATGTATAGTAACTGCGTAATGGAGACTAGTATATCCAGATGTGAGGAACAAGGCAGTATGCATCTCTGCTTACAGACAAAGTTGGACTCCCACTGAAACTGTTTATTATATCTTGACAATAGGATGCTGGACTCTCTGCCATTATCCATGCCTGCAATAATGGACATACGTCTGTGTATGAAGAACTGTACTATAGTAATGATATAGGGAAACTCAGTGAGGGGGGAGGAATTTATGGAGGGGATAAGGGAAATCCCAGGGCCTGTAGAACTGTATCATATAATGATAATAATAAAAAGAAGTAAAAAAAGTTCTCAGAGAAAAATTTTAACTTAAGAATCCTAGATATGATAAAGTAATCTTCCTAAAAGACAACAATATGAACATATTACCAGGTTTTTTTTTTTCTGTTTTTTAAAGCTGAAAAAATTTGCTGCGAACAGATCCCCCTGACAATAAAATAACAGTACAAGTTTTTTGAGTTGCAAGTAAGTAACTCCTGTTATGGAATTCATATGCAAAAAAATAAAAAACAAAGAACAGAAACAGCACTAGTAAAGAAAATGATGAAAAATAATATAAATGTGTATTTTATCCCTTTCTCTTCTTGCCTGATTTAAATAGCAGTTGTTTCTGAGAGCTAACAGATCAGATAGTGGAGCACGGAGATGCGGCTATTGTGGTCAGTCTTCTTTGAAAGCAGCAAG